GATGACACCCTCCGCTTGAAAATGACACAACCCGACTCATATGTTCCATCTAATTATGTCATGTTATTCAAAACGTATTTAATTTTATATTTAGATGATTTTTTACTACATATTTTATGAATGTAAATGATTTGTTTTACAATGTTGTAACTCTCATATTAACCTCAAATATATTTATTATTTAATGCAAACATGTTTGAAATCTGTATTATGTCCAATTTTTACAAATTTTGACTTATCAATAGGCACAAACGACATTTTTTTTTATAAAAACGTGCTTATGATGTTTTTCAATTCATACTTTCTAAACATCAATACATTACTTATACTGGAAAACGGAGAAGGATATGTGTTTGAATTGAGGGCTTTAGATGGTTTTCAGAAATATACAAGTACATCTTCTCATGTACTAGAGGTTTTATGACTTTTATGAACAAATTAAAGAATAACATGTATGATGATGAATCAATACAATACTACATTCTATTCCATATTATAAACATTGTATTAATCAAGGAATGAAGGAAATACGCAAAACCCTTGAAAACCTACACCATCCAAAAACCATACATCCACACTGGATCTATATTTATTAGGTTGGACCATAGGGTTTGAGGGTTTCTAAACTATATGGTTCCTAACACTATAAAATTTGTTAGAAATATGTCCTAGGACAATCATAATTTATGATTTATTAATGGATATTTAATGCTCATTGATTAATATAGTCACGATTTCACGAACTAATTTTATGTTAATTATTATTGTGAGTTTTCTTTATTAATATTTAGTCCCTGAATATTATGTTTAGTAGCTAATTAAGTACGTGACTTATTTGTGGAATGCTACACTTTCTAATAAGCATAATGTTCTAATTGTCCCTAGTCTAATATTATTAATTTGGGACATTGATAATTAATAGATCAGTATGTGGATTAACAGATGATTATATTCCACTAGTCATGAGTATAGAGATATCGAGTTAATAACACATATGCTTGTTAGTGAACAAATCCATTAGACATACCCAATTTGAGAACTCTGTTGGGTTATGTGTCATCAGTGTTGTCCTTAACAATGATGAGGTTCTATACTTTTTTTAACCCGATAAGCGTCCAAAACCTGAGGGTGTTGGGGTGGTGGCCAGTAAACACCTCACCCATTTATTAGCTCGAAAACTAGAAAATGAAAGTACAATAAGTAGGAAGACCAAACCAAAGTCTACTTGAAAACCAAGAGCTAGATAATATAAGGAAAACTAGTTCCTTCAAATTTAAGAAGGGAAATTTTTTAGAATATGACTAAAACATGTCTACTTTCCCATAGTATGACTAGAAGTTGATATTTCTGATTATATGACTGTAAACATGTATGTATGCTGGTACGGTGAGGTTATAATTTAAAATTAAAAGACAAAATTGCCCTCCTCAATTAGTCACAAGTGCAGAATCCAAACCCAAATGGAAATTAAATTTGAAACGGAAGGCGGCGATTTCTTAGGGACGGAATGCAGAGCATTAACGCTCTAGAGAGCAAGAAGGAAACAACCTCCTTGTACAAAGAAGACGACCGAATTATGTGAGTAGGGTTTGAAGTAAAGCAGCAGGCGGCGACGAAGACGGCCGAATTGGCGCCGGTGAATGACGACGACATTCAAATGGAGGCAGTAACTGCGACGGCCGACACCAATTCTACTTCCGACGCAAATTTAATCACACTCGATGGCATGGTAATTCCTTAATTTTTATCGAATTACGTTTTCTTTTCTTTGATGTTGTTGAAATTGAAATTCGTGTGTGTGAATTTGGGTGGGTAGTATGGGGGGAATGAAAAATTTTAGGGCATTATGTGTTGTTGTTTGGAGTAGGGAACGAAGTAGAAAAATTGTGAAATCATGGGCAGGGGCATTAATTAAGGGATGGACATTGGGCATTAAGCGTAGAGTATGTTCTACATCATAGTGGCTAGGGCAATGGTGATTGGGGTGAACTGAGGTCAAGTGATATGTTCAGGCATTAATACATTGAGTACAAGTAGTACTCCCCTGGAGAACAGGTAGTAATGTGCTTTTTGTTGTCGTGTGTTTAGTTGAGGACAATGGACAAACATTAACGGGTACATGAGAAACCCAGAGAAAGGGCATTAATGTGTAAGTGAATAAAACACGAGGAGAGTAGTAGGAATTAAATTTATGATATGGAGTACATGATAATAACTAGGGCAGTGTGTTTTGAACTTATTTTACTTCAAATGATATTTAAGGCATGAGAAAGTGGAGTAATGATAACCTTATTGAATGTGCAGGAGTACGTGAGATATTGTCGTGTTGATGTAGTGGCTTTAACAAAAAAGAAGGTGAAGATAAACTCTTACTGCAATCCACATGAGGCATTAAAGAGCCTTAAAGAGAATTTAAGTGAGGCATTAATACACATGAGGCATTAAAAAGACCGGAAGATATGAACGAGTACCGGGTGAAGATGGCAACAAAGCTCTTAATACATTTTGGAGTGTTAGGGGAATAGTTTTATGCAGTAATTGTGGATTTATTTAGAATTGTGCTTTTATTTGGATGGTAATTAGGAACTGATTTTTGAGTTTTTTTTGTTTAGTTTTCGAACAATCATGATATTATTTTGAAGTGTGGTTTTATTTGGATGTTATGAAATAGTATTTTGGGATATTTATTAAGTAAATACTAGTATCTGACTGTTCTGAAATGTTTAAAAACAGTATTGGTGTATCGATGTATGTTGAGTTTATGATGTTGAGTGTCATGTTTGGTAGGGTGGAGTTTTTGAAGGACAGTAAGGCATTGAAGGACGTTAAATAAGTAGCAGTTAATGAATTGAAAATATGGAGGGCCTTATTGCACGAAAGACAGTTTATTTGAATGATATGGAATAGTATTTCGGGATATGTATATAAAAAAATCTGATTATTCTGAAATGGTTGAAAATACGATTTGTGTATGTTGAGTTTATAATGTTGACGAATGGTGTGTTTGTTTGGGTGATTTTAGCGAAGGACGGTAAGGCATTGATGGACATAAAGAAATGAGTAGTTTAGAACATTTGTAGCCTTGTAGGTACTTAAGGAGTTAAGGACAACAAGTATTTAGCGTTAAAATAGTAGGGCAGTAAAAATAGTTTACGCACATACAAACCTTTTTAAAAATAGACAGTACAAATATTAGGGCAATAAACGATGAAATCCATTCATAGACAGTAACAGAGTAATAGTGTAAATGTATTCGCAACAATGTTTAAACAATTAAAATGACAAATTAAAAAATAGTCCAACGGAATGAACACATACAAACCTTTTTTAAATACACAGTAAAAATATTAGGGCAAGAAATGCATTCGTGGACAGTATGGGAGCAATAGTGTATAAATGTATATAAATTGTATTCACAACAATGTTTAATAAAAGAGGAATCCATGGATATGATAATGCTTCAGTCGATCATTGGGTGTGAAATGGTAGAGGTGAGTCGGTGAAGAAGAAAAGTACGGTTACGGTTCGGTGAAGAAGAACGTGTTGTGATAGGGATAGGAATAAAAATAATGAAAATACTTACCTTCTATTAATTGTTTCCTTATTTTTAGGATATTCCCATTATTAGTCCGACGGTTATGCGTGAAGCAGTTATTAATCCACCGCTTATTCTCAAAGCATGATACATGATTTGCTTGGCCAGACATTTATTTTATGATGAAAAATAGCAGCTCGTTAATTAAATAGGAGGACACTATTGGTATTAAAATAAAACTTAAAACCCACGTGCATGGAGATGATCACGTGTGGCCAACGAGGCCTCGTTGATCTTTGGGTTGATCGTTGATGTGAGTGATCAGTGATGGTCCAATTGTAAGCTCCCAACTTGCTCCGAATGTTTTGGATGCACCACCAATACTTCCAATGTTGGGTGGAGATCCATTGTAGTGAGATGATATATTCTTATGCTTGAAATAATCATGATTACTTACATGTGAATTAATATGTGTAAACATCATTCAATTCAATGCTATCCTTAAACGGTAGTTATAAATGTGGTGATTGTACATATTATTAACCACGACAAGTATAGAGCGAGAGAACGATATATATATATATATATATATATATATATATTGGCCCCTTGACAGGTAAGATTAATCAGCATGACCAATGCTCAAATGAAGTGTCATTTATTCAAGATTGATCTTACTCGGTAATCAAGAAATAAATTGAAAATGGCAGGGATGACACGAACTAACATTGTCTAAATTAAGATATTGTTTGAAAAAAAAAGAATTATTAGCACAAATTAATCATTAAAAGGTTATGTGAGATTTAATTGACAATTATATATCTCCGATAGTCATAATGCCTTACTAGAGATCGCTTATGACTTGTGATACTCAAAATAATTTTCTAACCCACTCTCAACGATATATAAACTTAAAAGGTTACACACCTAAGTGATATAGATTATAGATCATTAATGTTTGTCTATAACATTAAAATAATCTGATTAGCCCAATTCAAAATAGGGTTTGGAATGGTATTGGGCTAGAGTCTCTGGGAGATTTTATTAGCTTTAAATGTAAATTCATATCTAATAAACCTAGAGAGAGAGAGAGAGAAGAGAACGTTAGCACGTTCCCTACGAGCCATCCAGTCACGTGCGTGTGGATACCGATAGAGCTAGGGATCGTTTTCTCGAACTGTGTGACATCCTTTATTTGAGTTTGTAATTTAAGTCCCTCATATTCTTGTAATTTCTTTTATATTAAGAACCTCAAATCTGATTGGTTACTTTTTGGCAGAGATTTTTTTTTTGTTTTTCTGCTGAGATATTCTGCCCGAAACCTAACAAAATTAACTTTAACATACCAGTATTACTTTGTAATGTACTACCAATATTGGTACAATGGTCGATTTGGCTAAAATGGTGGATATTTGCCAGAGTGGTACCAATATCACCTTTTAGCTGCTTGGCACTTCATACCATCTCCAAGAGCCAGAAATGTAATCTGTCCAAAAATAACTAATCCATTAACATTAGTCTTCAACTCTCGGGAGCTTTCCATTTCAGTTTTGCATAAGTTTTTCTACAATTGAGATGAGTATATTTGCTTTACACCTGACTACTTATGTCTACAAAAAGAAAGGACAAACACAATATAACACATGAGGAAGTTGTTCAAACAACCATTTCAGCCTCTGCAACATCATTAGGGATCCCCACATCCAACCTCATTGTTGACTTGTACCGTTCAGGCACGGCCCCACCTGCCTGTACACAAATTTCCACCACTGCCGGAGCTTGACCATAGAAATTCCTCAGTTCTCTCTTCATTTCCTCATTCAGATCAGGGACGTGCCAAACATACCTAGGAGGGATCAAGTCGTCCAGTACGGCAGCCTGCCATCCATGCTGCCCATTGCGTTGCTGGTGCTTATGGGCCCCGCAATTCTGCGCTTTGTGTCCGCTATGCCCAACGTGTACCTCTGGACAGTAACCGCAAACTCTCACCGGATACATCTTCATTAACCTCCTAGCTCCTCCTCTCATGGTTTCCCACGCTCGTACCGTTTCTTCAGCCAAAAAAATTGTCTCATCCTTCCCAGACAGAGGTGATACATCGGCATCAGAAACCTCATTGAATATCAATGGCTTTGAAGGTTCCGGTATAGGGTCTGGTAAATCCGTTTCATCTGCGTCGATAAACTCTCTCTTCCCGATGCGGATTATTGGTTTTCTCCTTCGCTTGGTGGGGTACTCCGGTAAATCGACCCCGGCTTGGATGCAGAGCTCGACCACTGCTGGGATTCGGGGGATTGAAAACCTCTCCTCATGACAAATCCGTTTCCCCAAACGGTCATAGAGGTGGTAAGATTCAAGTTGTACCATGACATCTTCAACAAATGCCTCTCCCCACTCGTGAAGTCCTTTGCGGATCGAAACGTCTGGGCCCCTACACGACTTGAAAGGATGCCCAATGGGTCCAACGTGAATCTCATTACACCACCTGTGACGAATGAATCCCCAATATAAGCTACTAAGTCAAATAAAGCTCGAGCCCTTAGGGGCATTGTTTAGGGGATTTCAGAGGGAGGGGAGAAATGAATTTTCGTTTACTAGTTTATCTGCATTTGTCCATCTTAGACCAGAAATTACGGTTATGTGGTATATACTTTCAGTTAAATAATTTTCATCTTCACTCTTTTTAGTTGATCTAAAACTTAAGAAGAAATAAATACAACATCCAAGCCGTAGTCCAAAAAGAGTTTGGTGTCAGCTAAAAGACGAGATAAATATACCATTCCTACACCTTATGGAATTCCACAACCAAGCATAAGCTTAGGGTACACAGAAGGAAAGACGAGATATTCAGGCTGGACAGCATAGAAGATGCATATGGTAGTCAAGTATGATAAAATGTAACACAATGTACCTGAGTGTATACAATTTCATTGGATATAGTATATACTATCCTCCGTTCTTTAATTCTTGCAACAGTTTGACTTTCACGTTTGCTAACGCACAACTTTGACTGTAATTATTTTTAATTATGTATTAGTAAACATTATTAAAATTTGATACTTTGGAAATTCACATTGATAGGAATTTAATAACATTTTATACGTAATAAATTGATTATGTATATTAGTAGAAAATCGTGGTCAAAGAATCACATTGTTGCAAGAATTAAAGAACGGAGGAAGTACGTAGTATAATTTTATATAGATATCGCCGTGGTTATTTCTTTTAGTTAGTGAATAAAAAGATGACTTTCAAATGACAAAAAAAATTATGATAAGGTCATTTTGGGAGGCTAAGCTGAAAAGCTTGCTGAAATCTGATGAGTCGGTGCCTAGCTGAAAACTAGTCGTATTTGATGTTTGAAAAGTTGTATTTGGGGTGAGGAATGCTTGGTAAAATGCGCTGTCAAGTTATTGAGTAAACTAAAAAGGTAATAGCTTATTTCTGAAAATCTATAGGAGGTAACTTTTCACATAAAAGCATATTAGAAGCTCTTATTTTATTTACCAAAACAGGACTGTTATCAAACTTCAATTCCCTAGTTTCTGCAGAGTGATGAGGTAGAGAATTTACTTGCAAGCATGAACAGGCACCACCTTCAAGAGCTGCTTGAGATTGTTTATCAATGTTATTCGTGCATTCATCACTCTATATGCAAGTGGAATCAGTTCTTTAATGACCAACCCAACTTTTGGTGGAGGCAAACGTCCCCTTGGTTGGGTTAACCTGTTCTTCTGTCTCTCCCTAGCAGCTCTCCTTAGCTCTACAATTGGTACAGGAAACGGCTTCCTCTCCTTTCTTGAATAGTAACGTGGAAAATCTGCATTTTGTGGATGGGGGTCGCCACATCTTATGCTTTGGAGTTGAAGCAAGTTCCTTGATCGCGTTGGCAATTTCACTATCAGTATACTGCTGCTACTTCCCTGAAAGAAATTACCAGATGTGTTAGTGCTGTTTGGGGTGAGTTTGAATAACTTGATTTCAAAGAGTATGCAAGTGTACTATAAGAGTAATAAACTTACTTTTGCTTTTATTAAAGAAATGTTTTGCATGAAATGGAACAAGAGCCTTTAACATTAAGAAGCACTTTTAATGCTTATTTGAGAAAGTAGCAAATGCTTAATCAGCAAACTAGCAAAGCACTTTAAGATCATGAGAAAGCACTTATTCCACACATTGTCCAAAGAGGCTCTTAGTCACTCAATTTGGCGAGCATAGTTCCATTTGAACCTTTGAAAATCATATACTAGAGGTGCCATTCGACTCTCTTAAATTTATATGTAATGCAGTCCAAAGTCCAAACTAGCTATTAACTCTATTTTGGTTACATATATTTATGTGTAAGTGTGTAACGCATGCCTTTCAAAAATGCATAACTGTACTTGGTTTTTTTAAATTCACAACTATCGCTACCACAGCTCCAGTTACTAGCCATTAACTCTACTTGTTTTTTTTAAATTCATTTGTTGGTTAGACTGGATTTGTTCATTCATCATAACTTGTTCCAAGCAGCATTTGTACAAAAAAGCTCAAACAATTAACTCCTTTTAATCTAAAATGTTCTCTTTTATTGGCGCACTTTTTTTAAAACCGGGCTTTTTATTGGAGATGGAGAAAATGTCACCATAGATTGGATCTTATATACCAACACTTGTTGGCAGCGGAAAATCAAGGGTAGAATTTTGCTTTGTTTTCCCTCCAGCAAGGGAATGTTTATGTTTATATAGTTTAAGCCCCGTTTAGGTTAACATTTTGGTCGCTATGCATAGCATAGAGGATGGTTAACAACATGCATGAACATAATTCTTCTTTCTTCTTGCCCTCACTTTATAGCTTCTAAAGTTGGTCTTTTAAATTAATTATAATGAGAATATCTGTTGAAGTATCCATTGACAAATCGAAGAGACATCATTAATCTAGGAATTACTTTCTTTATTATTTCTGTAACTACGACTATTTAGCGCCTGTTCAGGTTGTAATAATTAATACGTGTCTGTTCAGTTTATTTATTTATTTTGTTCAGTATCTAGACAGTCACCTAGGGTTCTGAACCGACACGGCGACACTTCCTAGGTATCTCTTCCCTTAGAACTATCCTATAAAGATATGGATGTACTTCTTGCATAACCAATGTTGTATCAATAATAAAAATACAGAAAACTTCAATATTTGAAGGCATTTATCTTGGCGTACATAAGGTCAAAATGATTACAAATAGCTAGAAAAACGCAAGCTAGAATTTACCAACCTTAAGAGCATCGAATGAGCTAAGAGCATGTTGGGGGTTGCACCCAAACTTAAAAGGTTGGATAGTAAGGAGCTGAAATTGCGGGGGGCTACAGTTCATTGCTGAAATAAACAAATAAATTAATAAGTACTGCACAAATAGACTAAACCTTAAACAAGAAAAAGATTAAATCTCAAACTAATAACACTCATCCAACTTGTGTGTAGCAAACATAATCATATGCTTTTGTAGAAGAATAATACTTTTTGAGATAAAGCATTTCAGGGACCGTCTTGTGCCAGCCTGTTCTACTTTAGAAAATTCAAAAGGTTTTGGTAAACATGAAGGTTTGAATCCATACCTGAGGGCCTTACCTATTCTTGCCCCTAAAATGTTGATGGAGTTAAATATGGAACATAACAGGCTACATCTCTAATCTTTCTTGTGTCTTAACTACAATGGGCCTAAACGAATTAGAGCTCAGTAGCTCACACGCTATGAAAATCAACAAAGGCCTGGGGGACTCGGTCCTAGTGGGACTTGAAATTTGACTGGTTAGGAAAATGAGAAGGGGGGCAACCATGCCAAAACCGCTAGTGCCAAGAAGTTTCAGTGCATTTTCGCATCACATGATTAAGAAAATGAGGACCTGTGCTAATTTCAAGCTATGTTGCACAGAAACGCTGGAATCATGGGAAACGTGAAACGGGAAACATAATTTATTAATAGAAAAATAACTGTTTACAAAGTTTCTAGTGTCCATAGAGTTTCTGAAACAGAAATGTGCTCATTCCTATGATTTTCTGTGCTTCAAAGATCTCACGTTTCCCCTCATCTCTAAACTCCTACACGGATAAAAACTACAAATGTACCAAACCCTTCTAATGACATACAAATCAAATCACCATGACATTGCTCATCTCTCTGTCCTAAATTAAATTAGATGTGCATTTTTATATTCTCACTTCCATGTGTTTACAAAGGGACAGTTAGCCTAAACTCCTACAGAAGTTGTATAAGCCCATTACGAGAGGAGCCTCATAACATATCCATAGATATATAAGCAACAAAATAGTGGGAGGGAAGAATGGACAGGAAAAGTGAAAATCTTTTGGGCTGAAAGCCTGAACCAGATTAACTTGGGTGTTATTAAAATATTCAAGAAGACAAATTGCTTTTTCCAACGGTGTGCTGTTACAATATTCAAAGAGAAATTGCTTTTTCCAAGGAGTGCTGTTACAGGATTCAATGAGACAAATTCCTTCATCTCATGGTTTGCTGGCACTATCTCTAAATGACTTTTGTAATTCCCAGTTGGGATTTGATGGCTTCATTCTGCACGCGATTATTTATAGCCTTGTAGAGCAGAGTAGGATATACTCATGCACTAACACAACTATGATTGAGATGAGCTGGATACGTTTTTTAAAATACTGTCTCCATGACTAATTTCTTCCGTGAAATACACAAAGTTGATTCTTTTTGTCGAAAGGTACAATATTAATTCGAAGATACTTACAAATGAAAATTATAATACTGCTACGAAATTCAAAACTACTTGGTCACTTAGCTACTTTTATTTTATTGAGATAATTAGCTATTTCTAAATAAGTGAAGTGTATGACACGGTTTGGGGTCGGTTGCTGCAAGATAGAATGCACTTACGTATGCAAGTGCATTGCCAAACAATATGATGAACAGGTAATACTGTAAAAGCCTTTAACTAATGTACATATCCATTCTAAAAAAATACATACAATACAAAATTACTTGAGAGCGTAAAACCTATAGACAGAAGAGTCTAGACAGCTCTAGAGATCAGTTACATGAGTTACAAAATAAATTAGAATATTTGTATTTAATATTTCAGTTACAAATCTTTGTATTTAATATTATAATTAGTAGCCTAGCTCTAAAATGTTGTATAAATAGGATATCATTTCATGGAATGAATCAAGCTTTTCAGTCTCAATTCCTCCTTATTCTAAACCTTATTATGGTATCAGAGCCTCTAGAGGCCTAAACGGCCTATTCTCTTCACTGAACTATCCCCCCGCATCACCTTTCTCTACCCATGGCTCATGAAAATAATAGAGACAAAAGTCCAGAAGACGTGAATGATAACTCAACATCATCTCCCTCAGCCAATAATCCCCTAACCCCGGAGGGCCTTGTTATGCTCAGCCCTAACCAATTCCCAGAAAAACTAGATGGATCAAATTACCTTGTATGGAGAGACCAAGTAATGGACCTTCTGTTCGGGTCTCATCTAGATCAGTATATTGATGAAAAAACCAGTCCTCCTCCAGAAACTGAAGCTGCCAACTTTCTGCGATGGAAGAGACAGGATCGTCTGGTGCGGCACACCCTTGTATCTTCTCTCAGTTCCGCCTTCAAACCGCTGGTTGGGTCTGCAAAGACCTCCGCCTCCGTCTGGAAAACACTGGAACGCCTATACGGGACCCGGTCAGCTTCCAAAATTCGAAGTCTTAAAGACCAGTTCCGCCATGCTAAACAGGGGTCGCAACCTGTAGCAGAATATCTTCACCACCTTCGCACCCTCGCGGATGAACTAGCCATGGCCGGCCGACCTGTTGTCGATGAAGACTTTGCCATTCAAGCCTTGGAGGGTCTTCGTCCCGAGTTTGAATCCGTGGAGAACTCCATCCGCCCAGATGAAACTAACTTCGAAGAACTCCACTCCTTACTGGTCAGGTTCGAAGACAAGTTGCGAAGGAGGGAGCTCTTGAATTCTGCGGCTGTTGTTACTGCGAACGCAGCTACAGTAGAAAGGAAAGAGGAAGAAGACAGTTCGGTCGCAATGACCGTTCGCAGAAGTATAGACCAGAACGCATCTATATTAGGCCCAGGTCCATCAGCCCAGTTTCAGACTCTACCCAATAGGCCCAATACTCAGAATAAATTTTTCAAAAATCAAAATCGAGGCCCACGTCCCAGCAACTTCTACAATTCAAATCGACGTGGAAATAATAATCCCGGGGGCAGACGTACTAATTTTGGGGGAAATACCAGTCCGGGTGCCGTTATATGTCAAATTTGTAGCAAACCGAACCATCTCGCTATAAACTGTTGGCACAGGTTTGAACAACAAAATTATCCCCCCAGGCCAATACCGCCACGACCAGGAGAACCGGATGGTTGCTGGACTCGAAAGCAACTAATCATGTCACCAATAATTTAAACAATCTTACCCTGGCGTCCGATTACACCGGCACAGACTCCCTCATTATTGGTAACGGTAAAAGTCTTGAAATTGCACAAGTTGGGAATATGACCCTTCATTCTCTCTCCTTACCTAATACTCTTTTTGTTCCTTCTATTCATACTAATTTAATTTCAATTGCCAAATTATGTCGTGACAATGATGTACTAATCGAGTTTCACCCTTCTTTTTGTCTTGTCAAGGACCGGAAAACGGGAGCAATTTTGTTACGGGGTATGAATAAAGGTGACGTCTACAGCTTGCCTGATGTTCCTGTTCCTTCATCACCATGTGTCAATGTTACTACAAAATGTTCTCTAAATAAATGGCATTGTCGTTTAGGACATCCTGCCCTTCCCATCACTCAAAAAGTTATTTCCTCATTAGGTATTTCCTTTAAAGATGTTAATAAGGATTTGTCCTTATGCACTTCATGCGCAAGTAATAAAAGTCACAAGTTACCTTTTGTTAAATCTTCCCTTTCCAGTTCAGGTCCACTTGATTTAATTTATACAGATGTTTGGGGTCCCTCACACATTAATTCTGTGGATGGTTTTCGTTATTATGTTATTTTTGTTGATCACTACACAAAATACATTTGGTTTTACACTATCACTCACAAGTCTGAGGTAACTTCAATTTTTCAACAATTTAAGAAGATCGTAGAAAACTTTTTTCAAAAATCTATTAAAATGGTTTATTCAGATGGAGGGGGTGAATACATATCCCTAGGGAAATTTCTAGCCTCTTGTGGTATTACTCACTTACTGACCCCTCCATATACCCCTGAGCATAACGGCTTCGCTGAACGCCGACATCGTCATATTGTAGAAACAGGGATCACTTTACTCCAACACTCTTCTATGCCGTTAAAATATTGGTCATACGCCTTTTTAACTGCTGTATATCTAATTAATAGGCAACCAACAACATCTCTAGGTTTTTGTACTCCCTATGAAAAACTTTTTCAAAAACCTCCCAATTACACAAAACTTGCTATTTTCGGATGTCAATGTTTTCCATGGCTCCGTCCTTATGCAGCTCATAAGTTAGAACCACGGTCCAGACCTTGTATTTTCCTTGGGTATTGCGATCAACAAAGCGCTTATCGCTGTCTTGATCCTACTACCAATCGCATCTTTTTTAGTCGGCATGTGGTGTTCAATGAGGTTGTCTTCCCTTTCTCTAATAATACAACACCCGTTACAGATCTGTCCTCTGAAATTGACAGTTGGCTTCAACCTCCTATCTCTTATCTTCCTATCTCAGGTACATCACTAGCAAAGGCGTCTCCTACTACTCGTACCCCGATAACACAAGACTCCCCTAACCCTGCTCCTCATAACACTCCACCAGCTTCTAACCCACCGGTCCTCATCACTTATCACCGCCGGCCCAAACAAAACCCAACTACTCCATCCTTACCTAATGTACCCAACACCAACCCCTCAACCATTACTCCCACTACAAATAATCCCATATCTACCTTGGGTCATCATCATGATCCAAAAGCCTCTCCACCCAAACGTACCCACCCAATGACCCTTCGTTCTCGTAAACAAGCTAATGTTGTCACACACTCACCATTACCTCATCATATTATTCCTACTTGTGCTTCTCAAGCTTTACAGGTACCTGAATGGAGGAAGGCTATGTCTGTGGAATTTGATGCTTTGGTTCAACAAGGGACATGGGAACTTGTACCCGCTCATCCTGGTCAGAACATTGTTGGCTGCAAATGGGTTTATACTGTGAAATATAAGCCCGATGGTTCCTTGGATCGTTTCAAAGCTCGATTGGTGGCTAAAGGCTTTCATCAGCGCCCGGGGATTGATTACTCTGAGACCTTTAGCCCAGTCATCAAACCAGTTACTATTCGGGTTGTTCTGACCATTGCACTTTCTCATGGCTGGCACATAAACCAACTAGATGTCAACAATGCTTTTCTACATGGTGCTTTTCAAGAGGAGGTTTACATGAAACAACCACCTGGTTTCAATGATGGCTCTGGAAGAGTGTGTCGTCTTAAGAAATCCATCTATGGTTTCAAACAAGCACCTCGAGTATGGTACCAATCTCTTAGTGGATTTCTATTATCCCTTGGTTTTCATCAATCAGTCTCTGATGCCAGCCTCTTCATCTTTTCTTCTCATCCCTCTTATATCTATGTGTTGGTATATGTGGATGATATTATTGTTACGGGCTCTACACCAGATTTGATTCATCGGACTATTAACATGTTAGCACAAAAATTCTCCATTAAGGATTTGGGGTCATTACATTACTTTTTGGGCATACAGGTTACCCCTACATCAGATGGACTCTTTCTTGATCAACACAAGTACATTACAGATTTATTACATGTGTTGAACATGCACGAGGCGAATCCAGTATCCACGCCTTTAGCTTCCTCAGCTTCCTTGACTCTGTTTGATAGCTCAGGTTCTTGTGATGCCGCTCTCTATCGTCAAGTTATTGGATCACTTCAGTATTTAAACCTCACCCGACCTGATACGGCCTTTGCCATCAACAAGCTAGCCTAGTTTATGCACAAACCCACGGTGAACCATTGGCAGCTCATGAAGCGTCTCTTGCGGTATCTTCACGGAACAGCCTCTCATGGTTTATATCTCCGTCGGAGTTCTCACCTTTCATTGTGTGCTTATGCTGATGCAGACTGGGCGGGAAATCCAGATGACCGATCCTCTACCAGTGTTTATGCCATTTTTCTCGGAGAATCACTTATTTCATGGAAGTCCTCCAAGCAACGCACAATTGCCAAATCCTCAACCGAAGCAGAGTATCGGGCCCTATCCACTGCTGCATCTGAAACTCTTTGGATTGAGTCACTTCTTCATGAGCTTCGACATTCCCCTTCTTCTCCTCCAGTTCTTTCATGTGATAATAAAGGTGCTACCACCTCTTCTGCCAATCCGGTATTCCATTCCCGAATGAAACATGTTGCCATTGATTTCCATTTTGTTCGTCAACGTGTGCAACGTGGCCTTCTTCGGGTTCTTCATATCCCCTCGCATGATCAACTAGCTGACATTCTCACCAAACCCCTTTCACGACAACGGTTTGTTTTTCTACGTGACAAGCTCAGGATTCTCAGCACTGATAGAATACCTGGCTTGCGGGGGCATATAGACAGAAGAGTCTAGACAGCTCTAGAGATCAGTTACATGAGTTACAAAATAAATTAGAATATTTGTATTTAATATTTCAGTTACAAATCTTTGTATTTAATATTATAATTAGTAGCCTAGCTCTAAAATGTTGTATAAATAGGATATCATTTCATGGAATGAATCAAGCTTTTCAGTCTCAATTCCTCCTTATTCTAAACCTTATTAAAACCAACTGCTACACTTTTTTAAAAGCACAAGTTGGTTTCCTCAATCAAAACTACCATAAATTGTTAATATACCTTAAGCCTCATAACAAATCCATAGATATGCTAAACTTTTTTAAACAAACTCTGCATAAATATTTAATATACACTTTTTTACTAGCACAAAATTAGTAAATCACCAAAGTTCAAAGATTTCTCTAACAGAGGTAATAAACTGAATAATAATCCAAAACAGCTGCCAACTTTCAATTTTAACTTCTAGTATTATTCGTCTTCATTGAAAGAATGAAGAGTAAATTTTCTCAAGAATTAGAGGCAAGGCTTACAGAGCAGGATGGGCTTGCTGCCTGGAGCAGAGTACAGGTCTCAGAAGATGAAGCAGAGAGCAGGGGAGACTGAGAGAGAGCAGTAGAAGAACAAACGATCGTTGCTTATTTGATTTTTGGATTAGATAAAATACAGATAAGCTCGTGCTCTTCCGAATCGAGATCCTCTACCATATGGGCTGGCTGATTGTTTTGCGGGTTGGCAAAAAATGAAAATGTTCTAAGTAAAAAAGAATGGGGGAAATATAAATTATAGAATTCTAAGCTATGTTGAACCCGAAGAACTTACCAAGAGCGCTGATAATCTGATTGAGTGATTGTAGCCTTGTAGGTCTCGGTGGTGTGTTCGAAAGCTCGTGTGATTCTAGCTCAACTCCAAAGCTCAATTCCGTTATAACTAGGTGCGGGTATTGGTTTTATTGTTTTTTGTTAGGTTCAGTTTGAAATGGATCGGAAGAATCAAGAATGATGGCCAAGGTAAAGAATCAGAAGGGAAAACTGGTCCACGTGGATGAGGCGGGGGTGGAGACCGTAGATGTCGAAGCCGGAAGCTGTGGGTACGGTAGTCAGGGGCTCAGGGCGACGGCTATGGAAGCCGGCGCGGTTGGAGGTCGCTTCGATGGTGGTGAAGGGGAAGTCCACGGAGGTGGTGGCCGGAGGCGTTGTGTACGGCGGAAGGAGCGGTTGAGGTGAGGTGGAGGTTGTATTCCGTAGGCGGTGGCTATGGAGGTTGGGCGGCGGAGGTAGTGGCTGGAGAGGCCTGGGCAGAGGAGTTTGTTCCCGTGGGAGTGGCGGAGTAGTCGGAGTTATGGCGGAGAGCAGAGGATTGCCGGACTGGGAGAGGAGAAGAGGATTGCCGGACGGGAGAGGAGCGGACCAAGCAGAAAGAAGAAGGAAGAGAAAAAAGAGAAAAAAGAGAAAAAAGGAATAGAGAAAAGAAAAAAGAAAAAGGAAAGGAAAAGGAATTTTTATCCAAGATAATGTTAATTAAAAAAGTATTTACAAATTAATGTCTGGTAGAGAAAGCTAGGGATGTAAAAAAAACGGCCCGCAATGACCCGCCTTGGCCCGAGACATTTGGGGCGGTTCTGGCCCGTCCCGTCTTGCAAATAGGGCGGGTCCGCCCCGTCCCGCCTATACAATGGGGCGGATCCAGGTATTAGTATTAACTCGTGCCGCCCCGACCCGACCCGTTCAATATATGTATATACATATTTTTTCTTAAATTATACTACAAATATACTTCAACATACATATCACCATTCCAGAATGGAAGTGGGAACATGTCACCATGGACTTTTGCAGCCACTTATCATTCCAGAATGGAAGTGGGAACATGTCACCATAGACTTTGTGGTAGGGTTACCACGGACAGTGAACAATTACGATGCAGTGTGGGTGGTGGTTGATAGACTTACCAAAAGTGCACACTTCTTACCTATCAACATCACTTATCCTCTTGAACGTTTGGCCAAGTTATACACAGAGGAGATTGTGAGGTTACACGGAGTTCCAATATTCATCGTCTCGGATAGGGACCCAAGATTCACATCTAGGTTTTGGCCAAAGTTCCAAGCATCATTGGGGACTAAACTGAAGTTTAGCATGGCGTTTCACCCTCAGACGGATGGACAATCCGAGCGAGTGATACAGATTTCGGAAGACATGCTTAGGGCGTGTGCTTTGGAGTTCCAGGGGAGTTAGGATAAACATTTGACACTAGTGGAGTTTGCCTATAACAACAGTTATCAGGCGAGTATTGGCATGCCTCCATACGAGGCATTGTATGGGAGGAAATGCAGGACGCCGTTGTGTTGGGACGAGGTTGGCGAGACCAAGCTCGAAGGTATAGAACTTGTCGAGATCACCAAGGCTAAGGTGAAGGTTATTCGAGATAGACTTAAGGCTGCCCAAGATCGGCAGAAGAGCTATGCCGATAAACGACGAAGACCGTTAGAATTTGCAGTTGGTGATGAGGTGTTTCTAAGGATTTCTCCTTGGAAAGGTATCATCCGATTCATATCGAGGGGTAAGCTTAACCCCCGATACATTGGTCCGTTTGAAATCCTTGAAAGGATTGGGGCCGTGGCTTACCGTCTCAAGTTATCACCTGAACTTGAGAAGATTCATGATGTGTTCCATGTATCGATGCTCAAGAAGTATGTACGAGATCCGTCACATATTCTTGAGAGACCACCGGTAGAAATTCGAGAGGACCTACAATATGCAGTGGAACCGGTGAAGATAATGGGCCAGCAGGTAAAGAGACTTAGGAACAAGGAGATTCCTATGGTGAAGGTGCTTTGGAGGAGTGATCGAGTCGAAGAAGAAACCTGGGAGACTGAGGTCTCAATGAGGGAGCAATACCTGTTTCTTTTCGATTAGACACAAGATTTTGAGGACGAAATACCAAATAAGGGGGGGGGGGGTGAACTTGTAACACCGTCCCCAAGTATATTTACTTTTAGTAAATCATGTAATAAACCTTGAATAATGATTCGTGAATTTACGAGGTTGTAAATTTTTGTTATTACGTTCGCGTGAATAGTAAATTGCACGTGGGGCCCACATCGATAAACTCGGGACCACATATTATATTCATCTTGGTCTAGATAATATGTATATGGTGGTAGATATTTTAGTTGGGCCATAGGAAGGGCATAAGGTTGACTCGTCGGTCAAACGAGTCCCAATTACCGGTATCAGTAATTTATCAGATAACAGCCCGGAACGGATTTCGGATACGTCTAAATTAAAGTTGGGAAATGAATACTCATTCAAAGAGTCCATAATGATGGGGAACACATAATATATTTTATTTGACCCGATAAAATAAAATATAATTAAAACAGTCCGAAAAATACAACTTTCGGGGCCGATTGTACACTTCTGGACAAAAAAGGTTGACCTCCCACATGGGTGGGGGCCAAACCACGAATTTGGTCACCCAAATAAAGGGTTTGGCCGGTTGGAGTAAAGAAGGGAACATGGGTGGGAATGGTGATTTGATCAATATGACATCAAACAAAAATGAGGTGGCCCCATCCACACTCATTTGTTCAATGAGACAAAGAGGTAATCCTCACCCTCTCTCCTTCATTCCTGCGGCCAGCACACCCCAATTAAGAGCAAGAACCTCTCCACCCATCATCCTCCATTGTTGAGGAGAGCTCAAGCAAGCAAGAAGCTCAAGGAAGGAGAAAAAATCGCAAAAATAGAGAAAACCCTTGGTAATAGAGGTGAGAAGATGTTTAAGTAATTTTCTTCCATATTTTTATTATCATATGACTAATACATCATATGAGGAGACCCTAGGATTGTTCTACATGTTTAGAAGTGTAGAATGAGGGGTTGGAAGGTAGTCCAAGTCCAAGAACGGACTTAGATGCCAAAATGACTGGTTCGCCGGAAAATAACCTTTTAGAGGTTATTTGTATTGATATGAGTTTTTTGATGATAAAACCATGTTAGGAGCTTAACTAAGGTATTTCTAGAGTTCGCCGGAGTTCACCGGAGTTTCACCGGAGTTTCGCCCGAGTTCAACCGAGGAGCGTAGAACACGCTATAGCTCATTTAAGGTGAGTGGACGGCTTAATATCTTATAACTTTTGGGTTAATTATGAGATTACCTAAATAAAAGTTATATGTGTTCATAATTATGTTTAAAAGGTATTTAAACATGAGATTAGCCAACATGGTTAAGTTTGTATGAAAGGAAATAATTGTTTATGCATGAAATATGATATGAGGAATTATATAAAATGCATTTTTGCTTGAGATGTAAGAGAAGCACAAAGGAATATTATTAACTTAATTATATGATGATTAAGTTGATACGTACAAGACTTGAAATGGCGGTCAATGAAACGTTGACCGATGGATAATGGATTAATTAATACCGGTTAGTATTAATTAATTATAAATTTATATAAATGTATGGCTTTGCATGGATTGTGATACATAAGCTTTATGTATTGATTTAGTTATGAATGAATAAATATGATATAGACTCTATCTAGGTTGATAAGAGCTTGATCATAGGATTACATATTGGTGGAGGACCCTAGGGCTTAAAGTCCTTAACACTCAAATTATATATTGGTGGAGGACCCTAGAACTTAAAGTTCTTAACACTCGGATTACATATTGGTGGAGGACCCTAGGACTTAAAGTCCTTAACACTCGGATTATAAATTGGTGGAGGACCCTAGGACTTAAAGTCCTTAACACTCGAATTATAAATCGGTGGAGGACCCTAGGACGAAAAGTCCTTAACACTCGGATTATAAATTGGTGGAGTACCCAAGGATTATGATCCTCAAAACTCATAGGTTATGGTATATAAATATGGACAAGGAGGAGTCCTACACACTCATAGGCATATGGGTGGGTTGGGGTTTTTAGTCAAGAATATTGACTACTACTATTTTCCCAAATAAAACGGTGATCTACGGATCGAGTATTTTCCAAGTGTATATGTACTATTAAGTACTTCTTAACTTGAGGGAGAAAGATTATTTATATAAATATCACCCTATGTTTGGGTCTTATACTTGAAACGCTAGTTATTCTATATTTAGCCTGCTACTCGCTCTGTACTTGTACTGACCCCTTCGGGGGGCCCACCATTTTCAGGTTGAAGCTAGGGCTTGCTACCTGCACCTTCTTACGGGTGAACTCAAATCAAGGAAGACGTGGTTCGTGCTTCCTTATTTCCTTTCAAACTACCAAACACTTGCTCATCGATATTTGTTTTACTATAAACTATTTTGGGCCTGTGAGCCCATGTTTTGGCCGGTTGTGGCCCATGCTTTACCGTTGAATATTTCCGATATTCATTGGGTTGAATGTGATGTTGTTATGTATGTTTACTACTGAGTATGGATGGATTATGTTCATAGACGGCTTGTATGATTAAATCACGTTGACTTGCGGGTGACGTCACTTGGTCATACGGCGTTTGTACACGCGCTTAGATGTGGTCTGGGGCGTGACACGGGACCCGGTCGGGGTGTGGCCGCTGGGAGTGTGCTGCCTGCCCCTAGACATGTGTCCTTCGGTGATCTCCCCGATGGGCTCGTGAATGGGTCGAAGTCGTGGTTGTTTCTGTATCGGTGGTCTCCTCATTGAATGATTGCATCGATCGGAGTGGGGATGAGGTCGTGTACCCGGTTTCCCCAATGTAGTTGGATCGCCCCCCGTCTTGCTCATCTGCCATGTGCTGCATGACCTGGGCTAGATCCCGCATGGCGTGGGGGTTCCTCCTCGGTGCTTCGGGGATGAAGAAGTCCCCATCAAAATGTTGGTATGACCCCCGACTGGATTGCCCGTAGGGGGTCCAGTTCCCCGGAGTCATGCTCCCTCCGCGTCGCTCCGAACTTTCATTGGTATGATGAGAGGTGATTCTAACCATCCTAATGGTAGGTTGGTGTTAGGGTAAAATAGTTGGTTTGAAAACTTTTTGTTCAAGTTTCCCACAGACGGCGTCAATGTTGAGGTTAAGTCCCGCAGATCCGAAAGCCCAACACACGTTTTGGATATTAAGGATATGGAAAATAAGTTGAGGGTCTAAGAAAATATAAACGCTAAATAATAATATGCTCAAAAGCCCACTTGTATTAAGCAATTCACTGATTATATAGGAAACTTCCAGAACGATACGTCGGAATAGTGATAATACAATAACAAGAGTGAGAAAGCTATTCTAGGCTCTAAGTCTCAAAATGCTAACCCTTTACAATGAGATTAGAGCCCCTATTTATACTAATAAAATGGGATGGGAGTGATGATGTGGCTGAATCAGATTTGCTGTCGTTCTCGAGCCACTTGGATGTCCATACTCCCACTTGCTGACGCCATATCCTAGCATTAAATGCCTCTGACCACTTGCAGGCTACCCCGTTCGGGCTTCAGAACAAGGCCCATGCTGATATGATTATTTATCTGGCCCAAGTAACCTGTATGACCAGATCCCCGTTCGGTATATAATCCCCCATGGTTCCCTGGATCCCGTTCGGTATAACTAGTCACTTGACCTATTCTTCTTTGGATCCTTGCTCACTAATGGGCCTGGTATATTGGGCTTTCGGCCCAATATCCCAACACGGCCTATGATTGACTATTGAATATTTCCGCTATTCATTCAATCTATGATGTGATGTTATGTATGTTTACTTTCTGAGTGTGGTATGAACGATGTTCATGAACACCTTGTATGCTGAAGTGAGGTTGACTCGCGAGTGACGTCACTTGATCATACGACGGTTGTACACGCGCTTAGATGCGATCTGTGGCGTGACATATATACTTCATAACTATTAGCTCAAAAAATTAACTTTAATGTAAATAAAATTTTAAAGAGAGAATTCTCTAAATAGGATTAAAAGAAGGTAGAATTGCAAAAATAGGACCATTATGTTTTATTGGACATAAATAAGACTAAAAAGACCTAATCTGACAAAACTACCCTTAATGAGAAAAATTAAAAGTTTGCAGGGGTCTGTGCGAGTTCCCATGTGCGCAGGTGTGCGTTGATTCCAAGCCTCCACAGTTCAGAGTTGACACCTCCACCAATGGTGCCTCTGCCACTCTCCATCCAACCTGCCACCACCGCCACGCCGCCCCTCAGCGAGTACGTTGTCATCATTCTCCAACAAGGATCTGCCCTTCAGTGACTCTGTGCAGACCTCCATGAGGAATGCCACTTGATATGCGAGAATGCTACTTAATATGCATAATGACACATTAAAGACAATTTCGTATAGAAACATAACATTTAAAATATGGCATTTCCGAATATTGTAATGACATAAAAGTGACAAAGGATCCGCCCTACAGTGAGAATGCCACTTGATATGCGAGAATGCCATAAAATGCCATAAGAATGACATTTTCTTATGAACATATGACATTTTCAGATTGTCATCCTGATAAATATATTGTCACAAGTGTGGCAGTTTTTTTCAAATAACCAGTAATTTTGACATTCTCATTTTGTAAAAGTGGCGTTTTTGAAAATAATCAAAGTTAACAAATTAATAAAAAAATCATATTCAAATGTTATAGGTGATTAGTAATTCATTGAAACTTAGCTCCTAATTTCATATTTTAAGATCCCAATTTAATCTAGAATCTTAAAAGTTCACAAATTAGAAGAAAATAAAAATCCATAAAAAAGAGGCCCATGAAGAAGAACAAGAGAAAGAAGATGAATGAGGAGGAGGAAGAGGAGGAGATTACCCGGGAAATTGCAGAAGAAGAGATATCCTGCTATGGAACTTTTATGGGGTGAACCGAGGATCGCGACCATGGAGGTTCTAGGGTGGGTGATGAGTGCAGCTATGAAGATTCAATTTTGCCATCCATGGGAGGAAAGATCACAACGTGCTCTGGAGAAATAGCAGATGAATTGCAGAAGGCAAAGAGGTGAGTTTAATTAAATGAGGGGTAAAATTGTAATCTTTAATCTTATTTAAGAAATACGGAGTAATAAATTTGTAGTCCTATTTTGTAGTCCAATACTATCAGCATCATTGACGTTGAATCTCAAGGATGTATACCTTTAACAGCTAAACCTCTTGGAAGTAATTATTTCTTGCCTATTTCCTAATTTGGAGAAAATATCAATTTATCACGGGTAGTTCAATTTGATTAATTGATAAAAAAGTTGAAACATTGATTGATAATCCAAATATCCCTTCAGGGAGCCAAACTGCCACTGCTCCTGTATCATCCATATTCGTATTTCCTAATTCCTGCCAAACTACCACGACTCCTTCAAAGAAACAGAGAGCAAAAGAGCTTCAAGGTCTTTCAAGAATCAGGAGTGATATCCTGGCGGGAGGGCGAGCCCCTACCAGCTATCGAGACCGAACTAAGTCCAGCTAGCTGAACTTCAATGGCTTATCTGCTCAACACCTGTCCGCCGATGGCATTATCTAATATCAAATCTTACCCAGTCCTAACTCCGCACCTTTCATCTCAAATCTCTCGGTTTTCTTCAAGTATGTAGCGTCAACCTCCCACATTCATTGAACATTTCGATCAATCTCTGTTTTTTTTGCTTTAATTAAGAACCCGTTTTTGTTGCCCAGGGAGGAGGCTTTTGGTAAGGGCAACTGAGACTGAGAGTGAAGGTAAAAAGCCCAAGCTTTGGATTTGATTTTCTTGGGCAGCTATGGAATTCTCCCTTTTTGTCCATTCATTCCGTTTATAATGTTTGTGTTGGGTACAATTGTCCTACAGTTAAACCTAGGGTGCCAGATAAGGCACCTCTAGCTAGTGATTCCGGCATTAATCAAATTCTTGGTATCAAGGGGGCTAAGCAAGAAAAGGTGGGCTGTCCATTTCCTTCTTAGTTAATCATTCCTCCATATACTAATTTCTTGGGGTTTTCTGTGTGATATACTACCAATTTCATTGTGTTTCATATCACAAACAAGATAGTTTACTTTGACTTGTGTTTAAGCCCACATTGCCAGGCTGGGCATAAAAACATTGCCAATAATTTTTGGCCATCATCAAGACACATTATGTAAAACTATTTTAGCATTTGTTTTGGAAAGAGATAACTATCCAAGAACTTGTCACACATTGGTTAGTTATGAAATAACAAATCAATATATTTAAAATTGAACTACTTCTTGTATATAGTTGGCCTTGTAGGATGAAATCTCAAATCTAAATATGATATTAAAGTCTTCCAATCTATAGCAGTCCTATGATGCACGATATAGCTGTCTGTATCTTTTTGGAGAAACCCCACTCATAACATGTGTTTTGTGTGTGCCATTATGAAGTGCGAAGATTGCATTCACAAGTAGTTGGATTGGTTACTTGGTCAAGTTTGTATGATGAAATTACCTAATTGATCATCGAGGTCATTTGCAAGAGAGAACCCACCTAGTGCTTCATAAGGTTTGGAGTAAAGCAGTTCATGAATATCCAACTCAGAATTCCTAGCCAGTGCTTAGAGCCTTAGGCTCCCTGCCCTTAAAATTACTAATTTTTAAAAATCAATATTCTGCAGTATATAATTGTAACTTATGTCTAGTATATCCATAGGATATCTTGAAAGTGTAGTATTCACCAATAAAATACCAGTTAAAGGCGCCTAAAAAGAAGGCGATTTTTAGCATTCCACTTTGGCCTATGGATACCTATCATCTAACCTGCCGCCTAGGATGTTTTTTACAACAATGCATTCTGCCATGTTAATATCTTTGCCAATGGCCCATGAACTTTAGATCTTTGATGTATTCCTTATTAGAAGCATCATTTCATGGTATGAAGTTAGAAGTAGTACTTTTCAATATTTACCATTATCTTTGGCCATTTTAGCATTCAGATATAATATATACTCCCTCTAGTTCTTAATTAAGTTCCCACTTTCCTTTTTCAGAAGTCCCACATTAAAGTTCATGTTTCCTTTTTAGGCAACATCTAATTATGAAATGACAACCCTCATCTCATTTACCCCCTTACACCCTGACCCCATTTTTACTTCATTAGCAGGGGTTAGCGGTTACAAGGGGGAAAAGTTCAATAGAAAACTAGAAGGTTAATAGAGATGGAGTATATTGCTTTAGATCCCGGCCTCAACACATCACACAGAGTGAGGGGTCCAAAAGCAGAGTCTGTGTACTGAAGGCCGAGCTTGTGACCCCTCACCATTGGCCTTGGCCTCTATAAAGTGCTTAAGACATCAGCAGAACTGACAGAACTTAAACGCTGACATTGTCTCACACTCTCACCCCGCACATACGTAAGCACAACCCCAAACAGGGACACATGTATGCTTTTAGTTGATGTCAAGGTGACTGATTGCCCAAGCTGATCAGAAAGACGTGGCACACATCTAGATAACTTAGGGTTTTCCCTCTTACTATTAATACCCCTATTCGGATAGTGGAAAGGGGTTGACATCTTCTAATCAATAGGCATTTATTTATACACTTTACTTTCTCTCTCTAAAATAAGTCTCACTTCTCTCTAGACTTAGGGTTTCAATTCATCAAATAGTACGACTTTTCATAAGTGCTGGCTTCTTTACAGGACAAATGGAAGATTCGTGTTCAGCTAACAAAGCCTGTTACCTGGCCTCCCCTTGTCTGGGGAGTGGTCTGTGGGGCTGCTGCTTCAGGTAGTTCCTTTGCAAATTCTTCCATTTATTATTATTGTTATTGTTATTGTTGTTGTTATCATTGTTATTGTTATTATAATTATTAGTACTACTACTCTTTTTTTACATATAATCAATTCGTAACTCACTTCAATTAAGAATTCTGTAAATGTAATAGATTCGAGACATCTAGCAGGCACACTGGTCCAGTAATTTCAAGGTTAAACTTGCAAATAAAGTTTACACATAAAATTATACTGCGTAGTTCTTTTAGGGACCGTTCTCTCGACCTAGCCATTGCAAATTAGATTTGCCTTTTCAGCCCCAGCCACTAGAAAAGGCAAACCAAGACTACTATGGGTTATTGTTATTATTATTATAATGGATGCCAAGACCTTTTTGGCTGAAATGTCCCATGGGTCTTCTGGGAGTCAAACTAACGACCTCACAGACTTTTTGGTCTTGGGTTTTGTTATGGTTCAATCTACTTTGATGAACGGATAGAAATAAACGAGAAAGAAAAGTCACAAGTTTGTTTACCCAGTTAGACAGTTAGTAGTGACTACTATGGGACACTGTCAAACCAGGGCTCTTCACTAATTTTCAGAGAGGCACATAATTCAAGAAAGTAGAGACTATTTATATCAGGGATGCAACCCCAGTATAAATTCATGTGTACTGAGCCAAAAACGGTAAAAAATTTTGTCCTAGACGTGTATATATGGATTGCAGTTAGTTGGCTTGAATGTTCAGTATGACTTGGTGTGCAGTCTCAACAGTGCAACATGTTTAAACCAATCCTGCAACCAATTCCTTTTTTTTTGCAAATTCTTTCAAGAGTCGATTGTAAAAAGGTAAAAAAGCTCAATTAATACTTCAGCTGGTCAATTCAAGGTTTCATAGGTCTCTTATCCATTTTGCATCACTCTATAGTTATTTACTATTATATACAATTCTGGTAGGGAATTTCCACTGGACTCCTGATGATGTAGCCAAATCAATTGTTTGTATGCTCATGTCTGGCCCTTTCCTTACGGGCTATACACAGGTAAAGTTGCCCAGCAATGGTGATTTTTGATACAAAACTAACTCAGAAATCTAACAATGGTAAATTTGTCAGACACTTAATGACTGGTATGATAGAGAAATTGATGCTATTAATGAGCCCTACCGTCCAATTCCATCTGGGGCAATATCTGAGAATGAGGTACACCATTTACTCTATATATTAATTCATTATTATTATTATTATTATTATTATTATTATTATTATTATTATTATTATTATTATTATCATCATCATCATCATCATCATCATCATCATCATCATCATCATCATCATCATCATCATCATCATCATCATCATCATCATCATCATCATCATCATCATCATCATCATCATCATCATCATCATCATCATCATCATCATCATCATCATCATCATCATCATCATCATCATCATCATCATCATCATCATCATCATCATCATCATCATCATCATCATCATCATCATCATCATCATCATCATCATCATCATCATCATCATCATCATCATCATCATCATCATCATCATCATCATCATCATCATCATCATCATCATCATCATCATCATCATCATCATCACTCCATATGGTCCTTCTGCTTCATATAAGTAATTATAGTAAAATTACATAAATAGGAGTAATTCCCGAAATAGGAGTAAATAAGTTTGGAAATTCCAAAATAGGACTACCATGTTTTTATTCTTAAAATAGGAGTAATTACTGTCATGTTTGGAAAATACTGTCATGTTTAAAGTCCGGTACTGCCAAAACATGGCAGCAATTAGTCCTATTTTGGGAATAAAAACATGATAATCCTATTTTGGAATATACAAACGTTTAGTCCTATTTAGGGTAATTTCCCTAAATCAATTGAAGTATTCAGAGTACTCAATAGTAGGTCCCAGTCTACCATTATTCTCGTTAATCATAACTTTTTCATTAATGAACAACACAAGCACACATACACTCAGAGTCTTTAACAAGAAGAATAGCAAAAAAGGTACTCCTTGCGTGTCGAATTGGTTTGCCAAGTTTGATTGGCACGAGGAGTAAGCAAATGATAACTGTTTGGTTGAGATTTGTGGAGAGGAGAGAAACAATGTAAACCACAAAGTTATTTTCTTAAAATGAAAGTGACAAAACTTTTCCCGAATTGCCAAATTAGGAAAGTTATCAAACCTTTCAGGAATGGAGAGAGTATTAAAAGTTTCATTGGAATGGTAAAATCCCTTATAACAATGAGCACTAATACCTTCTATATGACCTTGAGAGCTCTCTCTCTCTCTCTCTCTCTCTCTCTCTCTCCCCGTCAATATATTTTTGTGTTTGTTCTGAGGATGATTTGCCTCAGGTTATCACACAAATATGGGTGCTGCTTTTAGGAGGCCTTGGATTGGCTGGTTTATTGGACATATGGGTAGGTGGTCTTCAAATCTGCTTAATCTTTTACATGTCATCTGAAACATACTGAGAAGTTGCTCCTTATAGGCTGGACATAACTTTCCGACTATATTTTATCTTGCTCTTGGTGGATCCGTGCTGTCTTATATATACTCGGCTCCACCATTTAAGGTAATCTTTCTCATTTTTTGAATTAACTGTTAATGATAAAAATTTCTTAGCTTAGAGCACTGAGTTTTAAATGTTTTGCAGCTCAAGCAAAACGGATGGATTGGAAACTTTGCTTTAGGGTCGAGCTACATCAGTTTGCCCTGGTAGGCCCCATTCTAGTGATTTTTTCCCATTTCTTTTTTCGCTCTTTCCCCCTATTATCTTGTTTGTTTCCCTTTTTCCCTCCGATTGGCACTTGAAAATTCAAATCTGTAAATATGCAGTGTGTGGAGTATTAAGCTTACATATTATCTTACTTTTTGTTACCTTGTAACATAACTGTCTTCATGTTTTTGTGTTATGCAGGTGGGCTGCTCAAGCTTTGTTTGGGACCCTTACACCTGACACAGTTGTTCTTACACTCTTGTATAGCATTGCGGGGGTAATACGGAACACATTTTCTCTCAGTGTGTAAGCTGAAATTGTGAAGAAGAAGAAAATATTAAATAATCTTTGTGATCCTCCATTTCAGCTGGGCATTGCAATCGTGAATGACTTCAAGAGCATTGAAGGAGATAGGGCCATGGGACTTCAGGTCCTTTTTCTACATTCAATTTATGATGCTCTATATTTGGTATTTGTAAATGTGTAAAATTATCTAAACGTTTTGACCTTAACATGTTCACCTCCCATCAGTCAATTCCTGTAGCCTTTGGGTCTGAAGCTGCTAAATGGATTTGTGTTGGTGCCATCGACATAACACAATTATCTGTGGCAGGTAACTTCCAATGAATGATTTTCACGTAGGAGTATGGAGTCAAAATGGAGTCTGTGTAATAGGTCTTCATAATTAAGACTGACCGACTATTTGGGATTTTTTCTTTCAAATACTCATTTAGTCAGCACATTAATAATTGCTTGCAGGCTATCTTCTTGGAATTGAGAAGCCATATTATGCATTAGCCCTTCTTGGTCTAACAGTACCACAAATATTTTTCCAGGTAAACCATACTCGTATTACATTACCTTTCTCATTATACACTCAGTTCTTCCGCTAGCCCGCTCTCATACATCTGTAGGAGTAGTAATTTTGAAGATTGAGGAAAACAAAAAAGAGTGATTTAAGTTATTTTGAAAATGATCAACTAATAACATTCTGTCTTCTTTGTTTGCTGTTGCAGTTCAAATATTTGCTAAAAGATCCTATTAAATACGATGTAAAGTATCAGGTACTGTTTTTTCCTTTCACTTCATGTAAAACACAACCTGTTGAGAGTTTCATGTTGGAAGATTAGAAAGGAACATGTCGCCATGTCGGTTTATAAAACCTTGGGTTTGACTAGCTAGAAAATTGGTTTCAAGCTATGGTGTGTTATGGCTCAAGTGTCTTATGATCTGGTTGAGTGAACTAAATCAATCTTGAGTATTGTCATGAAAATTCTACAAAATTGATTTCAATTTCAATGTGTTTAAAACAGGGATCTTACTATTACATAACACTTGACTGACCCCAAAAGGATATCCTTTTGTTGCAGGCGAGTGCACAACCATTTCTTGTACTCGGCCTCTTAGTAACCGCATTAGCAAAAAGTCATTGATCTTCATGTAGAGATGAGCACCATAGTCAACGTAATGGTGTTGAGTGCAACAAATTAGGGATAGTTTTCTTCATAGATGTTCGTCGCTATTGGTTAAGATCTTATTTCATTCATGCAGTTTACATTTGTTGTGTATAAAGTAGAAGCTGTAAATGGATGTAGCTTGTGAACTTAAGGGGGCATATATTATAGTTTGAAGATGTGGGATCTTGAAACAAATGCACAATATTGAGAGGGCAAGTGTTAATGAGCATTATTTCAATTTAAAAAGATGACACTCCATCTTTTAGCGGTTTAGCCCCTCAAATCCGATCGAACAATTATTTGAGAGGGTGTAAATGAGGATTGAAGACAGATTGACGGAGAGTTGGAGACAAAGTGGAGTCTTAATTCAAGTTTTTGTATGGAGTTGAACTCGAGACATCTCCTTTGAGACAGACACCCTTTTCCCATTATTTCGATTCAAGTGAGAAGTGGTGGTTCAAGTAGTCCAATCTGGAGACTTTAAATTCCCTTGTTGGAGGTCATGAATTTAAGCCATCAAAGAGATAAAAATGTGACTAAAATGTAATAAAATTGGAAATCGCTACTGGGTTTGTGTGCCACTCACAATTTTTCTAATGTCGTTGTCACTGTCATTGTTGTCGTCAGTCCGTCACTAGTGTCATGTTGTTGCTGTCATGAAGCATGTCATTATGATCACCAGAAAATTTTCCACCGAAGATAAAATTGGGCAAGTGACCTTGATTAATACTACATATATTATTATGAAAGTTATTATAAGTTTTGTACTTGTATAAAAGTATTTAAAAAAAAATCTTTGTATAAATTTTCTTCATAAATAAAAGAGTTAATGACTCAAATAGGACTAATTGCAAACTTTATTGCACATATAGGACTGCTTACGGAAGTTAAGTTTCATTTGACCATTTTTAGAGCAGTTGGATAAAAATACCACATTTTAATATTTTAAATTTTAAAAATGTAAAATTAAAAACTATTGAACAATAGCAGTAACACTACCACCGCCAGAGGCAAACCTCCCGCTGGCGCATCCTGACTTTGCCCCTTGCCGGAGACGCCGCCGCCTGTCACCGCCGTCGCCGGAGAAGCCGCCGCCTGTCACTGCCCTCGCCGGCGAATGTGCCGCCTGTCGCCTCCATCGCCGCCTGCTGCTGCATCCTTGCCGACGCATCATCACCACCCATCGCCGCCCCTACCCCACCGCTTACCACACCGGCGTCGCCCGTCGCCGTCACCACCACCGCCACCTTTCAGCCCCACTACTATCGTAACAATTCAGGCGGAATAAAACTAACATGATGTTGGCAGATTTAGAGTTGAGAACTAGATCCACATCTGCCATGCCATAACACAAGAGTTTCAGATCTGCCAAAGAGTTGGCAGATTCATGTTGGAATATTAACACAAAATTGTCATAAATTTGGCAAAAAATGAAAAACATGAAGTAAATAACCAAATATTCAAACAACTAATTTTTTTAATGAAATAATTTTTTTAGCACAATCGGAAATTAGAAAAACGAAACTATTCACACAAAATCAGAAAAATGGATTTATAGAAAAGCATTTTTGCCATAATATGATCTTAATGTACACATTTCTGCCACAAATTTGGTCAAATCCGAAGCAATCGTCCAAAATGTTGAAAATTAAAATTTGTTTTAAAACTCAGAAACTAGAAACCAGAAAATCAAAACAGAAGTTCAAAACTTGGAAAATTCAATTCAAAATCAAGAAAACAGAGGAAGATTGGTTAAAACAAAGGCATTTCTGCCATATTACGATTGTCAGTGTACATATTTTTGCCATAAACTTGGCAAAATCTGAAACCATCATCTAAACTTTTGGAAAACCGGAACTTTAAAAAAATAAGAAATCAGAAATCAAAAATCCGAAAATACAAAATAGAATTCCTAAAAATTGACAAAATCAATGTCAAATTCCAGAAAAACATAAGAATAGGAGGACGATCTGAAAAATCAATGTCTAAACTCATTAAAATAGAGGAATAGGAGAAGGAGGAATAGGAGAGGAAAGAAGAGTAGATCGGGGAAGAAGAAGAAGAAGAGAAGAAGGAGAAGGGGAAGGAGAAGAAGAAGAGACAACCTGCGATGATGCGTGCTGAATCCAGTAGTGACGAAGGCGGCGTGAGGCGGCATGGTTGGTGGCGGCTGCGATGCGTAAGGAGAAGTTGCAGAGGGAGTTGTTGATCGATTTTTTCGGCAGGGAGGAAACTAAAGAGTCGATTGATTAGGTTTGTAAATGGAGAGATAAAAAGGATATTGGGTGCAGGGGTAAAATTGAGATGTAAATTTTTGTATGTTTAAGAATAGGAGTAAATTGGTTCTATTAAGGGAAGAAATCATACATGGTCCTATTTGAGAATTTCTTTACTCCGTTAGTCCTATATGGGACAATTACTATAAATAAAAGCATGGGTCAAAGATTAATGCTATTGACAAAAAACTAGGAACGATTTTTTTTGGGCAAACCTTTCTTAACCTATTATAGTAAGTACTCGTATGTATTACTCCCTCTGTCCCGGTCATTTCTTCCAAGTTTGACTTGGCTCACAAATTTAGAAAGTTGGAATAAAGTGGAAATGTATGGTTGTAGTTGTGTAAGAAAAATGTGAATGAATGTGGACCACATATTTTTTCCAAAAGTAGAAGTTGGAAGAATTAATTGGGACGGCCCAAAAAAGAAAGTTGGAAGAAATGACTGGGACGGAGGGAGTATTTGTGTACGAATGGTAAAGTTTAAGGAATGGAGTATGTATTATTGCGTATTACTTTTATCCCTGCAATTCGAAAATCCTGCTTCGGCCTCTGGTTGTACAGACTTCATAGTTGACATTTTCTCTTGTCTAAATTTACTACCAAAGGAAACAAATACGTTTATTATTGAACACCGCTTTAGTAGTCGTACATAGGGATGAACCTAACTGGTTCGACCCGGCCCGGAATCGGCCTGACCCGCTACTGTGCGGCCTCGGACCGGCCTGGTTGGTGCTAACCGGGTCCGGGCTTTTACCCGGTTGGGGCGGGTTGGGTGGGCCGGGCTCGGGCCATGTTTTTCTTGAACCCGGTCGGGCCGGGATGGGTCGGGCCCGGGCTTTTTTTTTGTTCTTTTTTTTGTTTATTCATTTTTTTGTTTTTCTTGGTTAGGGAGGGGGTGTTTGGGGATGAAGGGAGGGGGAGTCGGGAGTTAATTAGAAAGCAAAAAAAAAACATAGAATCGGGTTCGACCCGGATCCAGTTTATACCCGGGCTGGTTCCGGTTCTCTCTTTCCCAAAAAAAAGCTTGCCCGGGCCCAGGCCCGGCCCAAAACCGGCCTGGCCCGGGTCCACCCCTAGTGGTACATGCATTATTCTGACTTACTAATTAGTGTGTGAACTAAAATTTGAACCACTTGCCGATATCAACGACCTTAACATATAGTCAAAGTAAGAAAGACAGCTATATACTATCGTATATACGAAAAATAACGAAGCATTAATAATTTTAATAAATAATACACATAGCCAAAGAAATACTATGAGAGGCACTCCCTACTTACTACCCTTCTTCTAATCAAAAGTCAAAACACCATCATGCAGCCGATAAGCAACTTGGCTGTTTCCCTTCAACTTGCCTCCTTTATCCTCCTTCTATTGCTTCTTTCGCCACCAACCATAGCCCAAACTCCACCTTCTAAGGCTACAACAACTACCACTACAATCACCAAAGGCACCACCATCACGAAACCGGGATGCCCACGAAAGTGCGGAAACCTAACGGTTCCATACCCGTTCGGAGTGGGCTTAGGCTCGGGTTGCGCTCTCAACCCGAGCCTGGAAATCAACTGCAACACATCGAGCAATCCTCCAATGCCTCTAATCACACAGAACCAGCTCCATGTCTACGACATCTCCGACTCCCAAGTCTGGATCTCCAACTCCGTTACTACCAGATGCTACACCCCGACGGGGGGCATGCTCGGGCAAAATTCGGCTGGGATCGACCTCGGCAATTCCAGCCCATACACTTTCTCCGATAAAAACAAGTTCACCGTTGTCGGGTGTGACGACTCCGCTGTCATGACCGGAAACAACCTCGGAAACGGGAAGAGATTCGGCAACGGTTGCGTCGTCTCTTGCAACAAGCCGGAGAATGTGATCGGCGGAAGCTGTATTGGTTCCGCCGGTTGCTGCCAAATCACGATCCCGAATGGATTGAAGACTGCCAATGTAACTAATATGCGCTCCCCGTTCGGCCATGCTCGGGTCTGGTCCGGTAACCCCTGCGGGTACGCGTTTATTGGGGAAGCCGGCCGGTATAGTTTCCGGGGCTCCGATGATCTTAAAGATTCCAATTTCAGCAGGAGGGTTGGGGAAAGCGTTCCGATTGTACTAGATTGGGCTATAGGGAATCTGAGTTGTGAGGGCGCAAGGAAGAAAGATGACTATGCCTGCAAGGAGAAAAGTCATTGCGTTGACGTTGACTATGATTATGGAGGTTACCGTTGTAGCTGTGACGATGGATATATGGGCAATCCTTATATCTCTCAGGGCTGCCAAGGTACGTACCCTACCATCTTTACTAATTATATATTGCACTCCAAATTAATAATATTCTGCTAGTCTTTTTAGAAAGAAAATATGATTAATGTGCTTTGATTTAATCGGAGGGTACATGTTTGATATGTATAAATCTCTATTTTCTAGTTTTTGTACTATTAAATGTTTGACATGCCGATTTTTAAAAGTTTTTTGAAAATAAAAGATCATTTTTAGATGCTACAATGAATAGCACCTCAGAAAATTATGTAATTTTTAGTATTTGTTAAATAATTAATCTCAACAACTTATATGCCAAAAAGAATAAAATCAAACAATTAGTTTTTTATCAAACAACCACCACATTTTTCTTTTAATTAAAATCTTTTAGTCACTAAAAATCTTTTAGTTATTAAAATATACTTATTAAAGTATCTTTTCATAATCGTGTCATCACTTTTTAATAAACTAAAATACTCAGAACAAGCTAATTAAGGGAGTAATAATGGTTGAGTTTTTTTATAGATATTGATGAGTGTGAAGATCCAAATGAGAATCCATGTGAAAAGATTTGCACAAACACGCCGCTGGGAAGCTATACTTGTTCTTGTCCAGATGGGTACACTGGCGATGGTAAGAAGAATGGGCAAGGTTGTGTTGCAACTGGGTCAGAATTTCCATGGATCAAGTTTTCAGTAGGTGAGTTCTTCATAATTATTAGTTATATTCTCGATTGTTTTCATCTTTTTAATTATTATTGGTAATGAAATGAATTAATGTGCCAATGTAAAAAAGAAAAGTACTCCCTCCGTCCCGCAATGAACTTCTCACTTTCCTTTTTTAGATGTCCCAGAAACAAGTTCTCATTTCCTTAAATGGCAAGTTAATTGATGGAGTATTAACTCCTAGATTCTAGAGAGAAGTGAGAGCTAGAGAGAGAAGTGCAATAATATGCTTCAATAGAATGATTTTGTAACCCCTATAACTACTCCCAAGGGGAGTATTTATAGAGAAAATTAGGGTTGGGCTCCCAAGCCTTGGGCTTGGGAGGCCCATTTACAACTGGACCGCTACTGGGCCGAATACAAAGCCACTAATGGGCTGTACAAATGAGTAAGTATAGGATCCGATTCTGGGAGGTCATCACGGCCGACGAGGGCACCCGGGTTCCTTGGACTCAGGATCATAATCCGGGTTGGCTTCTTCTCGGCCGACGGGGGCGTCTTGGCCGACGAGGGCGCCACTCTGTTGTCTTGTGCTCTGTCCTTCCGAGTATGTGGGTCCTGGGGCTCAGACCCATATACTCCATCAGGAGTCCCCCACTCTCTAAGCTGAGACGTAGACGAAGTGAAGGAGAGTAGATTTCTGTGCTGTTGCTTTTGGCCGTTAGCCGTTGCGGCATTGGCGTTGTTTCCTCTTTGGTGATCCTGTTCTGCGCTTTGGCCGTTACCTGTTCCTCGCTGTGGGCGGGGAGGCCGTTGTTTCAATGGTGGCCGTTGAAGGCGATGAGTATCCTTCTTCCGATGGTGGCCGTTGAGGGCGCGCTTTCCCTTTCCTGGCCGTTGGTGGTTGAGGTTTATGTTTGGGCCGGTGAGGTCGTTCCTTGCTTTGAGGACGATGGCGTCCTTTCCTTTGGGTGGCCGATGAGGGTGCTCGCGCACTCCTTTTGGCCGTTGCTGGTTGGCCTTCGTGTTCTTGGCCGAAGGGCCCGTCAAGATTAGTTGTTTGGCGGAGGACGATGAGTGTCCTTGCCTCTAGTGGCTTGTTGGCCGTTGCTAACGACGTTTTGGGCCTTTGGCCGATGAGGTTCCGTTGTGTTGTGTGGATGATGTGGCCATGTTTTGTGGTTACCTTGTTTATACCTTTGTTTTGTTGAGGCCGGTGTAGTCCCCCAGTCCCCCACTGCTTCAGGCCGAAGAGGGTGAGGGGTGAAGGAGTTGCTTGAGTCCCTGGCCGAAGCGGTCTCGCCGTAGTCCCCCTGAATCCAACTCTCATGGCGATTTTCTGGCCAAGGTAACCCTGTGGGAGAACCCTTGTGCGCAGATCGCTTGTAGAGAGTTATCATCAAGGGTTATTACGAGGAGCCGAAGGCTGTGGGCTATTTGTTCCCTTTGTTCTGTGGCCGTCACGTACCTGGCCGTTGCCATCCTCTTATTGTTTGGCATTTGTGATATTGGTGAGCAAGTGGGACGTTGTGGGCGCTTGCTGGCAGTTGTAAAGCCGCTGAGTGTGTGTAGGCCGTAGAGTCTGATTTGCCGGTGGGCCGTTGATATGGGTTGGTCCTGGCCCGTTGGTGACGTGGTGGCCCCCCAGTGGTGGCCGTTGATGTGGCCATTGGGTGAGTGCCACGTGTAGTGACCGTTGGTGGGGGGGTCTATAAATACCCCTTCCCCTCCGACGAAGAATCACATTTGCATTCTGAATTTGTCGAAGTGCTGGCCGATTTTCTAGAGAGATAACTCCCAAGCCTGTTCTTCGTGTTCTTCCTTGTTTGAGGTTAGTGTTCATCACGATCTTCCTCACTTTTCATATTTTGCTCCGTAAGTAGTTGATCTAGTGTTAGGCGTTTAAACACCTTTAGATCGTAAGTTGTTCTCCTTAAGTCCGTAGTAGCAGTAATGAAGAGCTTGAACGAGGACTACTACCCCTACGACGACCAGCCCTCCACGAGGTCCCTTGACTACGAGGTGCTCGAGGAGTTTGAAGAGGAGATAGAGCGTTTGAGCCCCTACAAATCCGGAGAGCTGATGGACGAGGAGATCGAGGACGAGGAGTCCGCCTCCTCTTCAGAGGGTGAGGACGTAGGCGCGTCCCGAGCGGTGGACGGGGCGTCCACTTCTGCTGCCGTTCCGTGCCCGAGGCCGGTATCTGCCGTGAAGGGCGCAGCGAAGCCGAAGAGGGTGAGGAGGCCGAAGAATGGGCCGGGTCTCTCCTACTTGGACCTTACCAACATATTCCTGATTAAGCCGGAGAGCAGTGAGGCCGACTATCTTGTCGCCCAGATGTACGTGGGGCCGTTCGGGCGGGTTAGGGCACCCAGGCCGACGGACCATGTTCTACTTCCGCCACCGGGATACTTCGGAGTATACCCGATGAGTTTTGCTAAGGGGTTGAGGTTCCCCCTTCACCCTTTCGTCACCGAGTATCTGGACATGGTGGGGCTTCCTCCGGCCCTGCTGACGCCGAACAGTTATTCCTTGATAGTGGGCTTCTTGCTTCGGTGTGAGGAGTTGGGCTACAGGCCGACCACGGCCTTATTCATGAACTTGTACCAGATCGGCCGAGGAAGCCACAAGAACTATGCGGCCTATGCCACTCTTCAACAGCTGCCGAGGAAGAGGAGCTTCACGGATTTGCCTACGTCCATTCATGGGTGGAAGAGCAAGTTCGTGTTTGTGTCCATTGGTGAGAGTGGCACCGAGTTCCCCTCCCTCGGCCATACCGGGAGGTTCAACCTTCATGACCCGCCGAAGAGCTCTATTTTGGACGCTCAGGTGGAGGCTTTCCTGGAAGGGGGGCCGAGGAGCGTGAAAGATTACGTCACTGAATACAAGATGACGGCCCTCGGCTTCTTCAGATATCACTTGTATGGAGATAAGGAGGATGACCTCCAACTCTGGCCGAGGATGACCACCACCTTTGAGGAGGCCGATGGCCCGCCTTTGGGCATTCCTGCTGAGGCCGATGGTAATTTTTCTTCGGCTTTCTGTCTTTACGTTTTGTCCTTTTCCTTACTAATCTGTTTGTGCTTTTCCCTTGTAGATTTTGTCATGGACCACCGTTCCATGATGGCCATTGCAAAGGCCAAAGCGGCCGAGGAGATTGCTGCTAAGGCGGCCGAAGCGGCCAGGCGTGCCGCGGCCGGTGTGAGCGGGGCTACTGCAGATGCGGCCCCAAAGCCTGCCCCGTCCAAGAAAAAGAGACCGGCCACTGACGGCCAGAAAAAGTTGACCGAGGCCGGCGTGAGCGTCTCTAAGAAGACGAAGAGGGCTCCTTCCCCTTCTCCTGCCAGTGAGGCCGGTACGCTTACTGTCCCCAGCGTGGGCGATGGTGGTCCCGTCGTGGACCTTACTGTTGCTGACGATGCTGCCCCAGCGCTTCCTCTCGTCCAGGAACCACGGACGCAGAGGGCCGGCAAGGAGGTTGCCGGTGCCACCTATCAGAAAGTGATAGAGTACCCCGTCGGCGGGGGCGTGTTTAATGAGCTCGTCCCCGGCCATGTCGTCCTGGCCAAGGCCATGCCGGCCAAAGATCGGGCTCATCTGAAGAAGCTCGAGGACCCGAAGATTTATGAGGGCGGCATGGATCTCCTCGTCCAAGTAAGTGATTGTCCTTATATCCATGTCTTTCTTCGTCTATGTAGAGTTTTTGCCTGACCTTAGTTTTTCTTCTGCAGAGTGCCTTCATGCTTATGGAAAGCCATAAGAGGCAGTACTGGGAGATTGCCCGCCTGCAAGCACTGGAGCAGAAGGCTGCCTCGGCCGACGAGGCGGTAGCTTGCCTTGACCGGCTTCGGGAGGATGCCAAGGCGCTGCAGGCCAAAGCTGATGAGGTCGTCGCGGCCAGGGACGTTGCCCTGGTCCAGCTCGAAGAGAGCAAAAGGGAGCTCGCAGAGTCCCGTAGAGCGCTTGAGGCCGAGAAGCGCAGGAGCGAGGAGGCCGCCAAGGCGAAAGCTGAGGCCGAGGCCGCCGTCGTGAGGGCTGCCGATGAGGCTGTTGAGAAGTTCTTGGCCGAAGGGTGGAAGGCCGATGAGAGGCTCCCCTGGTGCTACGAGGTGGTGGCCGCCAGGCTGGAGAATTGGGGGATGAACTCCCCTGCCGGCCGAGAGTATTTCAGCCAGGAGATGTCTGTTTACTACAACCTGGGCCAGGAGCGGATGCAAAGGCTCCTGTACCGGCGGCTATCCCGGGCGTTGAAGGCCATGAATTACACGGCTGGATGGGCTAGACGGAACCTGAAGCTCCCAAAGCTGATGAAGGATCCCGAAGGGCAGGCCACGCTTCCGCTGTCGGAGCGGGAGTCCCCCATAGAAAGCTCCGGCCTCGGCGAGCCGGACTATACTGAGTTCGATTTCTTGGATGATGCCACCAGCGCCGCTGCCGGCCAGGAAGCTGAGGCCGATGAGGAGGGGGCCGACGAGGTTGAAGAGCCAGCCCCGGAGGCTTGATCGGCTAGTCCCTATTGTAGTTAGCTTTTCATTTGTTGCCCAATTATGTAATGGCCGTAGTGCCCCCCAATTGTAATGAATTTTATCAATTGAAGAAATTTTTGCTGTCCTTTTCGGCCTTGAATCCTTTGTGTGCTTGTTTGCTTTGTCATTTCAATTCTGTAAATTGTCTTAAGTATTAAGTCATAACTTGGGTCACCCGCGAGTGTCCGCTACGTCCATGAGGTTGGCCTTCCCGTCCAGCAATCTGGTCGGCCTATGCCTCTTTGCTCTACTGTCATAATACTTAGGATTTTGCTTCAAAAATTCCCCAAGTGTTTTTTTTTTTGGGTCCATGTAGCTCCTGTCTTTACGGCCTAGTGGTCTGATCGGCTTGGACGTAGTTTCATAACACTTAGGAATTTTTCAAAATTTTTCTAAGTGTTTTGGGATCCACTTAGGTGCTTCCCTTTCGGCCTGGTGGCCTGGTCGGCTTGACCGGTGTTCCTTTGCCATCATAACACAGGATTTTTTTTCAAAAAATTTCCTAAGCGTTGTGGATTCCTTTTAGGTGCTTCCGTTTTTAGCCTTGACCGTAGTGTCCGTTCCGTCCAAGCATTGGCGTCCTCATCGTCCTGGCCTTGGATACATCTGGCCATGGCCGTTGTCGGCTTGTATCCCTGTGTTCTGGCCGATAAGGGCACCTTCATCATAGTCTCGTGGACTGAATTTTTCACAAGTACATATGTGAAGGTGTAGGTGGCTAACGGCTTTGTAGTATACTGGTACCCGCTTCGGCTAGAATTCCTCCCTTTTAGTACTTAGAGAATTTCCTAAGTATAAATGTTAGGCATTTACTTCTTCGCGGTGCCACTGCCGGCCAAGGTCTGGCTTGTGGCCGATGAGGGTGCTGGATAAGGAATAGCTTGTCCAAGGAGATGGTCCTGCCTTCGTCGGCTAGTCATGGTTCCAGTGCCTGCGTCGGCTGTCCGAGGTGCGGTGGCAAGTAGAGATTGCATCTTGATTACTTGATCCTTTCGCGGGTGTGATAAGTGCCCGCTTCGTCTCGGTCATCCTCCGGTTTGCGATGCTTTGTTTCATACCAAGCGTTGGTGCCTCAAAGGACTATGGCCGATGAAGGTCACCTCTCGCGTGTCACCCAACCGATGTGGTTAGGGTTTCATAGGCGTGTGTATCGGCCTTGATTGTTCCCTCGTGGTGCGTGGACGTGTCGTCCATGCTGCCTGTCACTGGTACTAAACTTGTGTTCAACTGATATGTACTTGGCCGAAATGGGCCTGAATTTTGGGGATTTTATTTTTTCATTGCTCGGGGCCGACAAGTGTGCACGGCCGTCGGCTTCCCTCTTTTTCCCTTTTATGTTTTTTTTTTCGGGGGGTATCCTTCTTTCAGGCTTCGGCCGAAGGGTGTGCTCGTCCTTCGGCCGGTTCGGACTTCGTTTATAACGTCCGTGGTCTCAGGGCGGGTCCCGTCGCCTATTTAGGACGCGGGCTAGACTTTTGGTCGGTTTCCAACGGCTGTCGTTGCCCATCCCTGAGTTTTGGGATTTTGTCACCTCGGTCCTGATTTCAGGCCTGTCGTCCTGCGATCTGGCGCGTGGACGACGCGGTGAGCTTCCCGTTTCAAGACGTGGGCCGTTTGCGGGCCCCTCGTCCTAGGGACATCGTCGGCCATACCTGAGCGTTACGCTTCTAGGCTTACGGGGCCAGGACGATGTGCTCTCTCAGCTAGGCCTGAGCCCTTCGCTGATACAAAATACAATGGAGTGCCTGAGCTTGTCGCTCGTAGGCTGCAAAATGCGAGGGGCCATGTCGGCCAGACCTGAGCCTTTCGCTCTAAGGTGGCCGACGAGGGCACCTACTAATGTTTTACTTTGAATTCCAGAGAAAATCAGAACGTGATTTTATTCATAAGTGGCTCGAGGCCGAGGGTGGCGTTCAATCAGTAACCCGTTAAGGGGTGAGGGCTTCGCCGTCTGCACCTCCTTCGGATTACTGATAAAACTTCACCAGATGGTGTACATTCCATGTTCGTGGTACATTGGACCCATTCGGGCGTCTAAGCTTGTAGGTGCCGGGTTTGACCACGGCACTGACGATGTAGAGCCCTTCGTACTTCAATGCTAGCTTGCCGCCCTCTGTTGGCTGGCTTGCTTCCCTTCGGCGGAGGACGTAGTCCCCCACCTGAAATTCCCGGGAACGTACCTTGGCGTCATAGTATGATTTCACTTGACGCCGGTAGTTCTCTGCTCGGACGTAAGCTTGCTCACGCCTCTCATCAACCAGATGTAGGTCAATCTTCATGTTCTCTTCGTTGGTGTCAGGCTCATATTGCTCCACTCGCCGGCTGGGGATGGCTACCTCCGTGGTCGCCTTCGCCTCAAAGCCGTAGCACAGGGCGAAAGGTGTTTCGCCTGTCGCCCTCCTCGGCGTGGTTCTGTAGCACCACAGGATGTTGGGGAGCTCGTCGACTTAACTACCTCCTGCGGCCTGGAGGTTCTTCTTCAGCCCCTCCATTATTGTTCTGTTGGCGTTCTCGACCTGCCCGTTGCCCTGAGGATAGGCAACGGAGGAGAAACGGTGCCTCACCCCAAACTCCCGGAGGAGCTCCTGGAAAGGGGCTGCCTCGAATTGGGTGCCGTTGTCTGATATAATCTCCTGGGGGACGCCAAAGCGTGTAATGATGTTCTTGTAAACAAACCTTTGGCATCTGGCCCCCGTGATGCTGGCCAAGGGTTCCGCCTCGACCCACTTGGTGAAGTAGTCGACGACGACGATGATGTAGCGGTTATTACCGGCGGCTCTGGGCAGGGGGCCGACCAGGTCAATCCCCCATCTGGAGAATGGAATTGCGGTGCTGACCGGGGCATAGTTGACAGCTGGCCGACCAGGGGCTTTTTGGAGTACCTGGCATGTGGTGCACTTCCTGGCCAGGTCAGCGCAGTCTCGTGCCATCGTCGGCCAGAAGAAGCCCTGGACGACGAGACGCCGGGACATGCTGAAAGGACCCTGGTGCGAGGAGCAGACGCCACAATGAACTTCTTCCATTGCAGTATCGGCCTCGTCCTGGTGCAGGCATCGGAGGAGGGTGCCATTGTAGGACCGTTTGTAGAGTTTGCCATCTTCGATGGTGTAGCTTGGGGCCCTGAGTTTGGCGAGTTTGGCCCTCTCCTCGTCCGGGGGCAACGCCCCCGTCGTGATGAAGGTGGCGATGTCGGAGATCCAGTCCTCTGGTCGCTGTTGGACGCACAAGACGGGGCTGGCATGGATGCTGGACATGCTCAACTCCTCGATCTTGGCCAACTGGGAGATGTGCTCCGGAGTGTTCGAGCTAAGCTTGGAGAGGATGTCGGCTTCGGCGTTCTCGGCCCTTGGGATCTGGGTGATCTCGTGGGTTTCAAACGCTTTCAGCAATTCCTCCGCCGCTTGTTTGTACTGCTTCATCCGGCCTTCCTTTGCTTCGTACGATCCCTCCACCTGGCCCACTACCAGTTTGGAATCGCACTTGATCCTGAGGTGCTTGGCCTTGAGACCGGCGGCGAGTCTGAGACCGCTGAGGAGGGCCTCATACTCGGCTTCGTTGTTGGATACCCTGAAGTTGAAGCGGATGACATAGTAGGCTCTGAATCCTTCAGGGGATATGAGGACGCCGCCGCCGCCGCATGATTTCGCGGCCGACGAGCCGTCAATGAACAGGGTCCACGTGTCGTCCGGCTCCGGCCCGGGGTTGGCGACGGCCGTCTCCCTTGCTGTGCATTCGATGACGAAGTCGGCCAAGGCTTGCCCTTTGATAGATGACCTTGGCTTGATCTCAATTTGAAACTGGCTGAGGAAGATCGCCCATTTCACCATCCTCGAGGAGCTAGTGGGGCTCCTCATGAGCGCGCCAAGAGGCTGCTGGGTCAGCACGTGGACGGTGTGGGCTTGGAAATAGTGCCCCAGCTTTTTCACGGTGTGGACGATGGCCAGCACCGTCTTCTCAATGGGGGAGTACCTGAGCTCGGCCTCCCGGAGTGTCTTGCTGATGTAGAAGATGGCCTTCTGCACCCCTTCGTCCTCACGGATGAGCACGGAGCTGATGGCCGACGTGCTCACCCCTAAGTACAAGAAGAGGGTTTCGCCGGCTTTGGGCTTGGAGAGTACGGGTGGGGACGACAGGTACCTTTTCAACTCGTCGAATGCTTCCTGGCACTCCGTCGTCCACTTGAAGCTGTTTGCCTTGCGCATGATCTGGAAGAAGGGAAGTGCCCTCTCAGCTGACCTGGAGAGGAACCGGTTTAAGGCCGCCAGGCGCCCCGTCAGTCTCTGTACCTCCTTGACGTTGCGGGGCGGCTCCATGTTGATGATGGCCTGCGTCTTCTCCGGGTTTATCTCGATGCCTCTCCGGCTGACCATGTAGCCAAGGAACTTGCCGCCTTGGACGCCGAAGGCGCACTTCTTGGGGTTAAGGCGGAGCCTGAATTCCTTCATGATTTCGAAGATTTCCCGGAGGTCGTCGGCGTGGGAGGTGGCCTGCCTGCTCTTGACGATCATGTCGTCGACGTATGCCTCCATCGTCCGGCCAAGGACCGCTCTGAAGATTTTGGCCACCATCCTAGTATAGGTGGCGCCGGAGTTTTTGAGTCCGAAGGCCATGACGAGGTAGCAAAATATTCCCTCTGGGGTCATGAGTGTCGTCTTCTCGGCGTCATCTTCGTGCATGGAGATCTGGTGGTACCCTCTGAAAGCGTCGAGGAACGACATCAACTCGCACCCCGCCGTCTCGTCCACCAACTGATCAATGTTGGGGAGAGGGAACGGGTCCATGGGGCACGCCTTGTTCAGGTCAGTGTAGTCAACACACATCCTGAACGTCGGCGGTTTTTGTGCGAGGACGACGTTGGCCAACCATGTTGGGTACTTCACCTCTTTGATATGTTTGATCGATAGGAGCATGGCGACCTCCCCTTTGAGGAAGTCCCGCCTGTCAGCGGACAAGTAGCGCCGCTTCTGTTTGACGGGCGCGGAGGCCGGATCGACGGTCAGCCGGTGAGTGATCACCTGGCGGCTGATGCCGGGCATATCGTCCGGGCCCCATGCGAAGACAACGGCGTATGACCGTAGGACGAGGAGGATGGCGTCTCGTTGGTCCTGGGGGAGTTGCTTTCCGACCCTGAGAACCCGCTCCGGCCGGGAGGTATCCAGAGGGATTTCCTCGACCTCCTCGGTCGGCTCCGCATGTGGCCTCTCCTCGTCCATGGCGACGGCGGTCGTGATGGTGTCTATCCGCTGTCCTTCCCTCTCGGCCGGCCTCGTCAGCTTGAGGTAGCAAGCTCTGGCTATCCTCTGATTTCCTCTGGCGTAGCCGATGCCGTCATTGGTGGGGAACTTCAAGCATAGGTGCTTCATGGAGATGATGGCCTCCAAGTCCTCCAGCGCTGGCCGGCCCAAGATTAGGTTGTGGGCGCACTGGAGGTTGACCACCATGAACTCCATGTCAATTTTGGCATGATGGGGGCCGTCACCGACTTCCACGGGGAGGACTATCGTGCCCTCGGCGTCGATAGAGTCCCCGGTGAAGCCGGATAACGGGGTCTTGATCAGCTTCAGCAGAGCTCTGTCCAGCTTCAGCTGTTTGAAGGTGTCCAAGTACATCACATTGACGGAGCTCCCCGTATCGATGTAAGTACGGTGGATGATGGAGTCACCGATCTCACATCGGATGACGAGGGCGTCCCTGTGTGATTCCGTACCCGGAGGCAGATCCTTGTCGGTGAAGGTGATCGCCTCCGTCCGCTGCTTCTTCGGCTGGGGGGGGAGCGTGGGACACCTCCCCAATGTAAAGGGATTGGGCCCATTTCTTTCTCTGAGTGGCGGAGTCCCCCCCAGTGTTCCCGCCTACGATAAGGTGGATGTGATTTTTCTTCGGCGGAGGCTCCTCGAAGTCCTCATCGTCGCTGAGCCTACCAATCTCGCGCTTCTTCGCAGAGGGTTCGCCCCCACGTTTGCCGGTGTTTACCCAAGTGTTTTTGCGTGGGCCACCTTTGACAAACTGGGAGAGTTCCCCCTGGCGAATAAGGCGCTCGATGGCCTTCTTCAGTGTGATGCAATCGTCGGTGTTGTGCGACGAGTTCTTGTGGAACCGGCAGTATGTGCCGCCCTGTTGGATGGCAAGGGTCTCCTCGGTCGGCCGAGGAGCCTGCTCGATGAGGCCGTGCTTCTCGGCATAACCGAGGATGGTGCCGACCGGGTGGGTGAGGGTTACCCCCGGCCGTTCCAGCCTCGGCCGCCAGTGGCGGTCTTTCTTACTTTGTCCACCAGAGCCGTGGCGGCCCTAGGCACCCTGGCCGGCCGGGGACGGACCCGGGGCCGACGAAGGATTTGTCTTCCTGGGGGGATGGCCCCCCTCTCTCTTGTGGTTGTGGAGCTCGTCGGCGTCGGCATACAAGCCTCCGCGTTGGAGCGCCTTGGCGTATGACCTCGAGGGGTCGGTGATGAGACTCCTGGCGTACGGGGAGCTACGGAGGGCTCCCTGGTACAAGGCGAGGAGGGTGCGCTCATCGGCCCCCTCGACCTCCTCGGTCTCCCTCGTCCACCGGTCGATGAATGACCGGAGGGACTCCTCGTGCTGCTGTTTGACGGAGAGGAGGTGGGTGAAATACTTCTTCGCGCGCTTCCTCCCGGCAAAGTGAGTGAGGAAGCGCTGGGCGAGATCCTGCCATGAGTCGATGCTTCCTTCTGGCAGCCCGTTGAACCACTCGTACGCTGGCCCCTCGAGAGTAGAGAGGAACCAACGGCAGAGGTATTCGTCGGACGCGTTCACCATCAGCATGTTGTTTTGATAACGGCTGAAGTGTTCCTGGGGGTCTGATCGGCCATCGTAGGACTTGATGGCGTTCCCCCTGTATTTCTCAGGGATGGGGGCCGAGAGGACCCTGTTGGTGAAAGGGGTCCTAGTCCTGACCTGGATGATGGGGTCACCCCGCCCTTCGGCCAGTTCCCTCTCCAGGGCGCTGACTTTGTTCATGAGCGCGTTGAGGCCGGGGTCGTTGGAGGCGCCGGCCGTAGGGATGTTGGCCGACTGCTTGGCCTCCATCTGAGCCAACCTCCTTTCCAGCTGGGCGATGACCTCGTCCCGGGGGTCCCTGTCGGCCGCGGCGGCACCCGGCTGGTTCCTCAGGCGCTCGTTGTGGGCCGCGTTGATCTGGTGACGCACGTCATCCTCGTGCAACTTCCCCTTGCCCTTGTCCGGGCAGGGCTGGTCCGCTGTCCGGGATACAGACCCCAAACTCTCCCTTGGCGAGCCAGGACGAGGATCACCAATCCGTCCCGCCATCCTCTCCGAAACCGGACGACGGCGCGTGTCACCTAGCCTATTGAAGGCAGAGGCTTTTCCACGCGCTGGGGTCTGCCCGGGCCGAAGAGGGGAAGCAGGGTGGGAGTGGGACGACGCTGTGTCCTGGGCCACAACCCCCTCATGGTTGCCTATCTGGTCGGCCAGTGGTTGGGGGTGAGGAGGTGGAGTGACGTTCCCCCGGTCCTTGGTAAGAGTGCGCTGAGGACGGTGGGATTCTGAGCCAAGCTGGCGATGATAGCCGACAGTGCGGCCTGGACCTGAGGATCTACGGACGGAGAGGCCGCGGCCATAGGCTGGGCCGGGGCGTGGTCCGCTTTCTCAGCTCGTTTCTTTTCCAGGCCGAGGCGGGCGTCGGGGACTCCGCCGTTGAGTTGGTTGCGGAGGTCCGTCGTGAGGTTGAAGGCCTCCTGGAAGAGGTCCCCTCCGCCGACCTGGTCGGCCGTGGCGTCCTCATCGTGCTCCCTGGGCTCTTGGTCCTCAGGGATGACTTTGCTGACGAGGTTGCGGTTTGACTTCGTTCTCCCCATGATTAGTGGTTAGCCGTGCTTGGTAGCGACGAAGGGTGCTAACTTTATTGTTCTAGCTCTCAACGAGAGCACCAAATGATGGAGTATTAACTCCTAGATTCTAGAGAGAAGTGAGAGCTAGAGAGAGAAGTGCAATAATATGCTTCAATAGAATGATTTTGTAACCCCTATAACTACTCCCAAGGGGAGTATTTATAGAGAAAATTAGGGTTGGGCTCCCAAGCCTTGGGCTTGGGAGGCCCATTTACAACTGGACCGCTACTGGGCCGAATACAAAGCCACTAATGGGCTGTACAAATGAGTAAGTATAGGATCCGATTCTGGGAGGTCATCGTGGCCGACGAGGGCGTGGCCGACGAGGGCACGGCCGACGAGGGCACGGCCGACGAGGGCACCCGGGTTCCTTGGACTCAGGATCATAATCCGGGTTGGCTTCTTCTCGGCCGACGGGGGCGTCTTGGCCGACGAAGGCGCCACTCTGTTGTCTTGTGCTCTGTCCTTCCGAGTATGTGGGTCCTGGGGCTCAGACCCATATACTCCATCATTAATCTAAATCAAAATAGTGTCAAACAGTGCAAAATAGTGTCAAACAGTGTCGAAACAGTGTCAAAACAGTAAAATTTATCCCATGGTAAGTTTATTTTCTTAATATGTGTGTAGGTCAAACTGTGAAGTTCATTGTGGGACGGAGGGAGTAAATAGTACCGTATCTAATTAAATTGTTCTAATATATTATTCATTTTTTTTTATTTTGTGAGACCATATCATCCTTTTCTTTATTCCAAAATATTACAGATTACAATTATAAAATACTCCCTCCGTCCCTCAATACTTTGCCATATTTGACCGGTACGAGAAATAATAAAGTAAACATTGTGCGGTTGAGATATATGAAGAGGAGAGAGAAATGACAGGAACTACAAATTCATTGATTAAAAGGGAAAGTGACAGTTTTTGAGACATTCAAAAAAGAAAAGATGACAAAGTTATAAGGGACGAATGTGAGTACTACTTTCATCCCTCTAAGCTTGATATAAGAGGAGGTCGATCCGTTGTTGTACGTGATGGCTAACAAGAAAATCAGAATTGTATGAATAAAAATCATTCAAATATTAAGAAACCCGCTACGCACACAAGAGTTTGAAATTCAATGGAGTGAGTTTCAGCCCTGATTACTCCAGGCCTCCAACCCCCTCCCCTAGACCACCTGGAGTAAAAAAAAAACAAGAAATTTGGTATCTGACAAATCTAGTGAAACGAGTGAATAAATAAAACTAGTCAATTTAGATATACTATAATAATTTCTCCATTTTTTGAAATCGGGTCTGGCTTAGTCATGTGCACATTTTTTTGTATAAACTGTAAATATATATATCAAAGTGTTTATGTACAAGTGTCAAAACAAATTCATGTGCACATTTTAACATCATGTTATTCATGTAGAATCATGTAGATTATGCATGAGAGTGCACCGACAAGTCTAAGTAGTTAGTGTGTTTTTAATTGGGTTGACTTATGCAAATATAATAGATCTAACTAGGGGCGGAAACATGACAGGCCAACCTTGATCCTGGTATAGTCCAAGTTTAAAAAGTGTCTTTATTTTTAGAGTAAAAAATTTCATCAAAATATTTTTCAAAAAAAATTCTTTGTATCGACCTAGTGTCTTGGCTCCGTCCCTGTATCTGACCAAACTAGACTTTAATAGTTTTAAAACACATGTAGATTGAAAAGACTCTACATCTAACATACTAGACTGACGAGACCAATTCAGACTAGATCAGATTAAATTAGATTTAAACACATCGGACCAAACCAGTTCATTTTAACGTGTTAGTGTGATTGGAGTCAAATATAATGTCATATGGCTCGATTTAAAGACTCCCATCTAATTTCAGATTCTAGATGTGATAAAGCAAAAAACGTCAATGAGATATACTTTTTCCATCCCTTAAAGAATTCAAATTTGACTAGCACGAGAAATAATAAAATAAAAATTGTGATTAAAATTTGTATAAAGAATATATAAAATAATGTGAACCACAAATTCATTGATTTAAAAGAAAAACAACACAAGTATGTTAAACAAAGTTAACTAGAACACAACTCCAACAAGAGTTCATGGATATCGAAACAACCTATGAGGCGTAATAATATTTTTAATTGGATTTATTTCAATCCTAAACAAGATCAAATTTGACTTAAACAACTCAGATCATATCAACCTGATCCGGACAAGATTGGGATAATTGTCAAATTCACATTTATAGAAAACAAATCTACCAGACCAAATTAAATCAGACTAGTTTAAACTAAATCAGACCAAACTTGATTTAAACAAACAAGACTAGATAAAATCAAATCAAACATGATCAGATAAAAAAAATCAGGCCAATAACAAATATCCTGTAATGGTATCTTAGGTTGAAATGGTATCTCACAATAAGATGGCAAACACAAACGTAAATGGTAGTATTAAATTAAGATGAAGCTGTCAAGAGAACCTTTAATTTATTTGCGCCAAGATAACTTTAATTAACCTTTGCATATATAACCTTACCACGACACATTATCAAGAAGGAGATTATAAGGTATTTTGAGTTTAATTACATTTAAAATTTTGGTCAAAGTTTATGGTATTTAAAAGCAACTTGTCTATTCTTGATGTGGTGTGATCAACTCCAAATATGGTATGTCATATCCTGTTTGGAAAAAGAAAAAATATGAACACATATTGAACACTTTGTTGAAGTAAAAAGTTATACTCCTTACTTCCTTAGTAATTACGGAATTCAATTCTATAACAACAAAAAAAATCATAAATTTATAAGAAATACAGTGTTATATTTTCTAAAAAAAATAACCATGATATTCTATTTTATAAAATATATATGTAGGGTAGAAAATGGTTTGCAGTTAGGCTATAATTGATCTGATTTGTAAAACTTGGTCACATCTCACTTACAAACTATTATTCATCCCTTTCCCTCCCATAAAATCTAAACAATTTAACTTAGACGTGAAAAAAGCATAGATAACATATATCCATAATTTTAAATAGAAATAACGATAGAAATCATAGTGTTTTCGAATGATAGTTATCTATCACTTTAAATCGGCAACATTTTTCCTCTAAAAAAATCGGTAACATTTTATTTTTATTTTGACTAACCACATAGTCACTCCATGTAAAATTTGTCAAACAAATGCACAGGTTTGGGGATCGGATTTTTATCGCTGGTTGGTGGAGCAACATGGCTATACTTCTTCGTTAATAAAAGAAAACTCATTCAACTTCGACAACAATTCTTCCAACAAAATGGCGGCTTAATCTTGAACCAGAGAATAACCACCATAGTAGACAGTGCCGGAGTAGATGCGGCGAAAATCTTTACCGCGGAGGAGTTGAAAAGAGCCACCAACGACTACTCAAGTGACCGTGAACTCGGCCGTGGAGGAAACGGCGTCGTTTACAAGGGCATCCTACCTGACAATCACGTGGTTGCCATCAAGAAATCCAAAACCATGGACGAGAGCAAAATCGAAGAATTCATCAACGAGGTGGTCATTCTCACTCAGGTCAACCATCGAAACGTGGTCAAACTTATAGGTTGTTGTCTCGAGGTGGAAGTTCCGATGTTGGTCTACGAATATATCTCCCACGGCACTCTCTATGAGCACATCCACAAACCCGGCGGCAGCTCCGATTGGCTTTCATGGGAAATCCGATTAAGAATAGCCACAGAAACCGCCGGCGCACTCGCCTACCTTCATTCATCGGCAGCAATACCTATATTCCATCGAGATGTAAAATCAGCGAATATATTACTAGACGATAATTACATAGCAAAAGTTTCAGATTTTGGTGCGTCTAGATTGATCCCTTTGGACCAAACCCACATAGCCACTTTGGTGCAAGGGACATTCGGGTATTTGGACCCGGAATACTTCCGGACGGGTCAATTGACTAAAAAGAGCGATGTGTATAGCTTCGGAGTCGTAATTTGTGAGCTTCTAACCGGAATGAAACCGGTTTCAAGTGAAAGAAGAGAGGAGGAGAGGAATTTGGCAGCATATGTAGTGAGATCCATGGAAAAGAATCAATTGTTCAAGATTCTGGACCGCCGCGTCTTGAAGGAAGCGGCAATGGAGCAAGTAGAGAGAGTTGCGGAGCTTGCGAGGAGATGTGTTCACTTGAATGGAAGAGATAGACCTACGATGAAGGAAGTGGCTATGGAGCTTGAAAGGTTGAGAAAGTTCAATAAGGAGATGTGGAATCGTGAATTGCGAATCCCACGTGATGATGGTATTGTTGTTGGTCAAATGGATGGTCAAATGGGGTCTTCATCATCATTAGACCTTTATACGCTTCATTTGAATTCTACGGCTTTCACTAGTGAATATTCTGCACAATACACCACTTCTTCTACAAGTTCCAAACCCACATTTCCCATTAGTACTAGTCCACGGTGATTATGATGTTCGACAATTCAACATAATCAATTGTACAGATCAATTTTGTACACAATGATGCACGTATCATTATATAGTATAAATTGATAAATTTTGTGCTTTTTCTAACACTAGATCATTACGTTGTAGCACTAATTTAAACGGGGTACGTTTTCTTAGTCATTGAAATTTATGGAGTGCATGTGCAATTTTATTGAATGTGATTTTGTTCACCCTCCTTAGCTTGAAGAATGTTTACTTCGTAGTTACTAGCGGATCCATAAATTTTTCAAGCGGGGGCATTGCCTCATGGATGGAAATGAGTTGGGTCGGGTGTATCATTGGTCTATTTTGTCTAGTCTGTCAGATTATTATTTTTAATCGGAATTGAAATAGATTATTCAGCGTCGCTTTCAAGCAACAATAAACATTTATGAATCTTAAGTCTAGCTTTGGACATATTGAAACAATTCTAAACAATAATACGAAGTATTTGACTTTGAGAAAGAAAGATTCGGGTATGTATGTTTGTCTACTCTAGGTTTGGTTCTCAACCCATTTGGATCATTCTAAACATGAATATTTAAACTTTTAAAATAGAATACAAAGCCGGGACTATAATTTTTCGATATCACCCTATGCACAAGATCAAATTTCACATAATTTTTGCACCAATAATGATTATAGGTTTCAGTTACGGTCTAGAACTAGAGTCGTGTCAAACATTGCACAATAAATTTACTAGTTTGAAATATAATACTATCAAGTCCCAAATATTTTTTTGGATTTTTTTTGGCAAGGATTATTTGACAAGGATATGTGAATTCGTGTTAAGATCCGTGTTATCACAAATACATTATTATAACCGAGTCATTATTTTACAATGTTCATATTTGAATATTTCAGTTATTATATATTGAGTATCATAAACTGTAACGAAATTATTATTTTAGATAAATGACGTAAAAAATAGCTTCAAAATAGTTCATTCTGATGTAATGAAAAGGGAACTTAATCTCAATGTCAATATTAGAGATAAAGTTGTCTATTTAGACAATACTTGACATCAAAATGATATTGTTTCAGACATGGTTTAAATGATAATCCTTTCTACTTCGTTCTTCAACGCAACAATATTTCTTCATAGCTGCTTAGACAACACATAAGGCTTAAACATTCATTTAGAATTAATACTACTCAACTGAACCGGATCAGAAGTGTGGGGACTAGCTAGTTTAATACTCCCTCCGTTCTTTATTATCTGTCCCGTTAGCCTTGGGCACGAGTTTTAATAGAAAAATAGTAGGGTAAATGTAGAGTATGTAAGGTAAATGATAAAGTAGGAAAGAGAGTATATTAAAAAGAGTAAAGTGGTGATAAAAGGATGATAAAGTAGAAAAGAGAGTATATTAATAGAGTAAAGTTATGATAAAGTAGGAAAGAGAAATTAGTTTGTGAAAAATAAGAGGGGTAAAAGTAATAAAAGTGAGGGTATTTTATCAAAAACTTTCTTAAAATAGAAAGAGAGACAAATAATAAAAAACGTCCCAAAAAAGAATGCGACAGTTAATAAAGAACAGAGGGAGTACTACTGTTATTTTTCAGGACCGAAATTGTGGACGTTTGCCTCCATGCCCTCCCTAGGTCTTCAATTGCCCCGACTAGAACTTTTTTTTTTCAATTTTATATCAAAACCTTTTCTGCATTAGAAGACATGTTTTAAAGTGATATGTTGGGGATTTTTAAAGTGACTTTAAAGTAACCTCTCCATCACTAAATACTCCGTAGTATATCTTCAAGATTTCCTTCTTTGATCGTCTCAAAATAATCTTTCATTTATCTTTTTGGCAAATAATTTGTGATTTACAACATTTCTTATATTTCTCTCCTCTCTTCACAACTCACAACCACACAATACCTACTATTTTAATCCCTTTATCAAACTAATGTACTTTGAAAAATAATTTAGGGACAGAGGCTGGAGTATCTGCAATAAAATTGACTTTTAAATTTTTTTTATGAGATTTGAGAAAATTAAGATTTAAAGTTCTTCCGATGAAAATAAATGCTAGCACCACTCTCTTTCGCTAATCTCCCTAGAAAATTCTGCATCTTCTTTATTCCTCAGAAAATGCATAGGAGGTATGTGGTTTGGAACTCAAAAATCACCTTTTGCAATTTCACCCCACCCATGCCACAAAACGTGGTGTTCAAGACTTTCGGGATACGATCCGATAACATGACACATTGTCATAATTATCAAGAGTTAGCCCCTGGTGATTAATTCAAAAAAGTTGACCGAAAAACCAAAAAACATAGCCAACAAACGGGATCTAAGTGGGTAATGTTGGAGAAAATGTTTTTGAAAAATTAAAAGTTCATAGTCTATAAAAAAAGAGTTTTGTGCAATAAAAAAATGAAGCACTTCTCCACACACTTGCAGCTCTTTTCTTTATTATAATAAAAAATGACTTCATAGCCTAGCTCAACCACATTTAAAGTTCAGTCTATAATTAAAAGGTTCATAGTCTATAATTAGAACGTTTTTTTAATTTCTTACAAGTAATCCCTAATGTTTTTTCCTATAATTGAAGAACACGAGTGCACTTTTATTCATCCCTTCAAGGAGGCTCAAAATCACCCCATACCCTTCCTTATTGGTTGCTACGTGACATCTCTTCTCCACTTTTCTTTAAATCGTTATAACTTTTTTAATTTTTTATTTATTTTCCAATTTTTATAAAACATACGGAGTATATTAGATTATTAATTTTTACGATCTTTTCAATGGTATCAATATTATATATAAAAATGGAAAAAATCATTTTTTCTAAATTTTTTTTTTTAGTTTTTTTTTGTAATTTTCATATGCAATATTAGTACCGTATGAAAGATCGTAAAAATGAAAAATTTAATACATTTTAAAAATAAATTAGATTAAAAATGAAAATGATAAAATAATAGTCAACTAATAAAGAATTGCCTTGCTATGTGGTAGACATTAGACAACTAGGATGGGATGATCATCACCTTTTCTGAGAGGTTCCTAATTAAAATTGGTTTTGAACCACGGGTGGTTCAACAATCATTCAAGTTTTGACCTATTCTTCATTAATTTTTTCGTCTTCGATTCATAACTTCATATAGCATAAATGCATTTTTCTCATTATTTTCAATACAGAAAGTCATCATTATGACTCCCACTTTTTCATGTTTTATGTATATTCATTCAATCAAATTGACATAATTGTCTCACTATCTTCGATTTAGCGGTTCACAAATCACAACCCAATTCATGCAAATCCCTATCAGATTAAGAGATTGCTTGCAAATACTTTTGCTTTGTTAAAAGGAAAAATTGACAAGAGTAGTCCCACATTTGACCGACCTTCTCATAATAATCTCACCTTTAAGAATTTCTAAAATAATCCTACCTTTCCACATCATCTTCTTTTGTTCGACTGGGGTTGACGAGGTTAGCTTGGTGGAGGGTTTCCTTCGACGGTGAGTAATAGGGGAGAAGGAGGCTGGTCTTCGACTGGGATTGACGGGGTTAGCGGGGTGGAGGGTTTCCTTCGACGGGGGGTTACAAGGGAGAAGGAGGCTGGTCTTCGACTGGGGTTGACGGGGTTAGCGGGGGTCGAGGGTTTCGAACGACGGGGGGGGGGGGGGGGGGGGGGGGTTACAGGGGAGAAGACTGGTCTTCATCGGGGGATTAATCGGAAGAAACAGAGCAAGGGAGAAGGGAAGCAACAGAGAAGGTGGGGATGCGGGAAAAATTTGGAGCGGGTATTTTTTTGAAGTGTTTTGAAATTGGTTGAGGGGGAAAGGGGGTAAATTATTTTTGGAGTTATTTATACTGTGTATGTGTGTGTATAGATCGAAAATGTGTAACAATAGACTTTTTGTAATTTATTACGGAGTATGTCACTGTCATTGTTGCCACCCGTATAGTTAGTGTCATGTCGCTAGCGCTTCAAAACAGGTCATTGTGACAACTAGAATTTTTTTTGTTGATAAGTAAAAAAATTGTACTCCCTCCATTCCTAAATAAACTTCCAACTTTCCTTTTTCGTCCGTTCCAATTAAAACTTTCACTTCCCCTTTTTGTTAAAGAATTTGTGGTTCACGATATTTCTTACACATTTCTCTCTCCTCTGCACAACTCTCCACCACACAATATCCACTATCTTAAACTTTGTGTCAAACCCATTTGGAAGTTAAAATGGGAACGGAGGTAGTACTTATTAGTTAGTTTTACTCAAAAGAGAATTCCTTAAATATGAGCAGATTATGTCATTGTTTTATTCTTAAAATAAGATTTATGCACTCATATCGTGGAGACTTTTTAATAATTTTGATTTGAAAAAAAAAACAATTAAGAATAACTATTCATTTTTTAAATATGAATAGTTATTTTATTGCCGTATTTTTAAATTTTTTATATCATCTTTGAATTTTCAAGTAAATAATTATATACTTCAACTTTGATCAACGAATTTGATTAATACTACGTATATTTATGTGAATGCCATAAATTTTATACTTTTATTAAATTATTCAATTCTCAACAAAGAATATCTCTACCCTACATAAATTTATATTACAAATAATTTTTTACATAAATAGAAACCTGGTCAAAGATTAACATTATTGACAAAAAAATATATGTATTAATTCGTAATACTTGTATCCATCAAATTCAAAAATCCTGTTTCAGCGTCTGGTACACAGTTGACATTTTCTCTTGTGTGAATTTACTTACAAAAGGAAACAGATTTGTTTATTATTGAACGCCACTTTAGTAGTACGTACATGCATTATTCTGACTTCTTAGTGTGTGAACTAAAATTTGAGCCACTTGCGGACATCGACGACCTTAATAGTCAAAATAAGGTAGACAGCTATTATATATATATAAAATAACAAAGCAATAATAATTATTAATAATACCTCTCTTCTATTCAAAAGTCAAAAGACCATCATGCAGCTAATATGCAGCAGGTTGGCCGTTTCCCTTCAACTTGCCTCCTTTATCCTCCTCCTAGTGCTTCTTTCAACACCAACCATAGCCCAAACTCCAACTAGTAACGCTACAACCACCGCCGCCACTGCCACTACAATCACCAAAGGCACCACCATCACGAAACCGGGATGCCCACGAAAATGCGGAAACCTGACGGTTCCGTACCCGTTCGGAGTTGGATTAGGCTCGGGTTGCGCTCTGAACCCGAGCCTGGAAATCAACTGCAACACATCGAACAATCCTCCAATGCCTCTAATATGGAACCTCCACGTCTACGACATCTCTGACTCCCAAGTCTGGATCTCCAACTCCGTTTTTATGAGATGCTACACCCCGACGGGGGGCTTGCTCACGCAAAATCGGGCTTGGATCAACCTCGGCAATTCCAGCCCATACACTTTCTCCGATAAAAACCAGTTCACCGTTGTCGGGTGCGACGATGCTGGTGTCTTTATCGGAAACAACCTCAGAAACGGGAAGAACGTCGGTGATGGCTGTGGCGCCACTTGCAACAAGCCGGGGGATGTGACCGGCGGGAGCTGTATAGGTTCCGCCGGTTGCTGCCAAATCCCAATCCAGAAAGGATTGAGGATTGTGAATGTAACTGGTATGGCCTCGTTGTACGGCCATGCTCGGGTCTGGTCTGATAATCCATGTGGGTACGCGTTCATCGGGGAAGCCGGTCGGTTTAATTTCCGTGGCTCAGATGACCTTAAAGACCTGAATTTTATGCGGAGGGTGATGGAAAGTGTTCCGGTTGTTTTAGATTGGGCTATAGGGAATGTGAGTTGTGAGGGCGCAAGGAAGAAAGATGACTATGCGTGCAAGGAGAAAAGTCAATGCGTTGACGTTGACTCTGATTCCGGAGGTTACCGTTGTAGCTGTGACAAAGGTTATATCGGTAATCCTTATATCTCTCACGGCTGCCAAGGTAGGCTACCATCTCTATTAATTACTCCTCTCGTCCCATAAAATTCTTCCTACTTTATTTTTGGTCCGTTCCAAAAAATTCTCCCAACTTATCATTTTTGTACAATTTGTGTGATTCACATTCATTTCACATTTTTCTTACACAACTACAACCATACATTTTCACTTTATTGCATTTTCTTAATATGCGTATCAAGTCAAACCGGGAAGAATTTTCTGGAACGGAGAGAGTATATTGCACTCCTTAGCTTAGTTTTCTTGCTTTTTTAGATTCGATATTTAATTGTCTTGAATTAATAATCTGATTGTTTCAACTTGTTAGGCAGTGGATAATGTGTTGTAGCTAAATTCTCATTATAATTAACCATGAAAAAATCAAACTTTTAGTTGCTGAAATAGTCACTATAACGAAATGTCAGACCCGTGTTCCCTAATTTGTAAATGTCACCCCTCAATTGTCCAAATTATTGTAAATGTGGTCATTTGAGGGGTTAAATGTAGGACGTAATCTAGCATATATGCATGATGACTATTACATCCTTTTGATTTGGTAGTCAAATTTTTTTCTCTCTTGTTTGAAGGGATCAATTAGCTTTTTACAATTGAATAATGTAAGTATAAAGAAATGAATTCGAAAACAATGATTTAGACTAATAACTACACACACTACTTTTGTGATTTAATTATGATTGTTATTATGCCATTCGCCAAAATTTAAAGATCTTTATATTGCATTGTCCAAATTCAACTCACCATCATATCGATCTCTCCTTTCAAACATTTATCATTATCAAATTTTGGGTGGGACGTAATTAGCGTATGGATATATGATGACTTATAACAATAGTTAATTGTATATATGTTTATATGTAGAATTTTACTTGAACTCTAATTTACTGGTCTGATCTGATCTGGAAGGAATTAGAGTCAAAGTAAAAACATACTTATACATTGGATTATTCATAAAAAAATCATCCACATCCGCGTAAGAATGTTACCAAAACGTAAATAGAACAAATAAAAAATAAATGCGTACAGAAGAAGTAGCACTCTACTGAGTATTGAGTACTCGTAGTGAAATTATCTTCACATTTTCTCAGTTATATCCAAATTCCAAAATAATAACTCTCAAAAAAATCCAAAATAATATTGGGGTTGCTTTTAGAAGGAAAATATGATTACTATTCTTCCATTTAATCAACCCAAACCTTAGTTAGATATTAATTAAATACAATACTCATTACTCAGAGTAAGGGAGTACGTAATAATGGTTGAGTTTTTTGGTAGATATTGATGAGTGTGAAGATCCAAATGAGAATCCATGTGAAAAGATTTGCACAAACACGGCTGGAGGCTATAATTGCTCTTGTCCACATGGGTACACCGGCGATGGTAAAAAAAATGGGCAGGGTTGTGTAGCAACCGGGTCAGAATTCCCCTGGATCAAGTTTTCTGTGGGTAAGTTTTCATGTTCACAGCCCATATTTTACATACCTTACTACCTGTTCTTTCCTGTTTTAAAGTTAACACTAAGAATGTTTTTAATTAGACATATTTCAATTACATATCAGATCAGATTAGGTCAGATTAGACTTCTGCAATTGTAAAATATATAGAGGCTAGAGAACTACCCGACCAAACCAAATTAGATCAGATCAGACAGATCATAACATAAAATTTCAATTCAAGTAAAAGCATCCTAATTGCTAACGCTTTGGCATAATAAGCATCTACTAGATATGCTTTCCATAAGGACTTTAGACTTCAATTATATTCTCCACTGTGTTCAGCTTATTATTGGTAATGTAATGAAATGAATTAATTTGCTCATGTAAAAAAAGAACACCAAACATGCTTTAGTATTTGATTTGAATCAAATCTCTTGTGACTTCATTGAGTGACTCCTATCTAATTTTGGATTTTATATAAGACGACGAAGCAAAAAAAGTAATGATATACTCCGTATGTCATTTAAAAATCACGTGGTTGAGATGTGTGAAGAGGAAAAAGAAATAATAGAAATAACAAATTAATTGATTAAAAGTGAAAATTACAAAGTTTTTGACACAAACTAGAAATAAAATATGACAAAGTTACAAGGAGTGAATGAATTATATTGGAATAAAGTGAACTATAACACAATTCCAACAAGAGTTCATGGATATCGAAATAGCCTTTGAGATCTAAGGATCTTTTTTATTGGACTTGTTCTATTTCCAGACAAAATCAGACTTAAACAGGTCAATCCTGATAAGGCTTGGAATGTCATAGCATACACATAGGAAAAACATCTACCCGATCAAATCCGTTCCAATTAGACAAAAGAAGACTAAAATTAAATAGATCGGATCAGACCTGAAAATTCATATACCATTAAAATTATATTCCACAATAAGTTGACACACAAAAGTAAATGGTACTACCTCCGTCCCTAAATTTACTTCCGTGGTACGAATGACACACGCATTAATAAAGTAGGTTTTGTGTGGTAGAGAGTTGTGCAGAGAGAAATGTGTAAGAATTGATGTGAACCACAAATTTTTTGTCAAAAAAGAAAAAATGAAGTTCTTTTTGGGACGGACGAAAAAAGAAAGTTAGAAGTATTTTCAAGGATTGAAGGAATATTAAGATGATGTTGTCCAGAGAAACTCCAACAGTTCATGGAGATGAAAAGTCTACCCAACCTTTAATTTAGTGCTCCAAGAGAACTCTAATTAATTTGGATGTAAGACACTCGAATGAGCGTGGATAATGGATATTACGCAAGAATGTGACTCATATAACAGATCTAGAACTCATTTAGTAACACTGAAGTGACTGTATTGGATGATTCTGAAAAAAATATATGAAATAAATAGCTAAAATAGTCATCTATAGTAACTTCAACCAATATAACCAGAAAAGTAACGTCAATCTTACTTTTTCTTCTTATTACACAATTCAGCGCGCGAAATCAAAATATATGTCAATACGTGTTTGGTAAAAAGTTGGCTGATAAGTTTAATAAGCCAAAAAATAGAGTTATGGCTCTTAGTTTTGAGTCGAATGTAAAATTTCCTTATTTCCCCGTGCATAAGCCATAATCAAGAGACGTGACATGTTCAACTAAAATCATACTTCCATGCAAAGATCAGGTCGGGTGGCTAATTGATCTATTGTTAATTAAGACTAGGTGACACTATTAAGTTACAAAACTATATACTGATTTAATTATGTCGACAAATTTAATTAACCTTTGCATGAAGGGGAAATGATATACTTCCTCCGTCCGAAAAGATTGGCTAAAGTTGACTTTCACATTGATTAATAAAGTAAAAACTGTGTGGTTGAAATTTGTGCAGAGAAGAGAGAATTAATTTTAAACACATATTCCTTACTTTAAATATACACTATACTCCGACACATATACAATAGAAATGACCATAGGCGACACATATCTATCACTTTATATATAACTTAATTATCACACATACAAATTGGTCAGATTATACTGTATTATATACAACTTTGGCCACACATATCTATCACTTAAATAGAAATGACAAATTGTTTAGAAATGGTATATCTGTAACTTTAATTAGCAACTTTGACATTTTATTTTCATTTTGTCTCACTAGACACCCCATGTAAAATTAAATTTGCCATAAATGAATGCACAGGTCTCGGGATCGGTTTTTTATCGTTGGTTGCTGGAGTAACATGGCTATACTTCTTCGTTAAGAAAACAAGACTAATCCGACTTCGAGAGAAATTCTTTCAACAAAATGGTGGTTTAATCTTGAACCAGAGAATAACCACCACACTAGACGGAACCGGAGTAGATGCGGCGAAAATATTCACCGCTGAGGAGTTGAAAAGAGCCACCAACGACTACTCAAGTGACCGTGAACTCGGCCGTGGAGGAAACAGCATCGTTTACAAGGGCATCCTACCCGACAATCGTGTAGTCGCCATCAAGAAATCCAAAACTATGGACGAGAGCAAAATTGAAGAATTCATCAATGAGGTAGTCATCCTCACTCAGGTCAACCATCGGAATGTTGTCAAACTCATAGGCTGTTGTCTCGAGGTCGAAGTTCCGATGTTGGTCTACGAATACGTCTCGCACGGCACTCTCTACGAGCACATCCACAAACTCGGCGGCAGTTCTGATTGGCTTTCATGGGAAATCCGATTAAGAATAGCCGCAGAAACCGCTGGTGCACTCGCCTACCTCCATTCATCGACAGCAATACCTATATTCCATCGAGATGTAAAATCAGCAAATATATTACTAGATGATAATTATATAGCGAAAGTTTCAGATTTTGGCGCGTCCAGATTAATCCCTTTGGACCAAACCCATTTAGCCACTTTGGTGCAAGGGACGTTCGGTTATTTGGACCCGGAATACTTCCAAACGGGTCAACTGACTGAAAAGAGTGACGTGTATAGTTTTGGAATTGTAATTTGTGAGCTTTTGACCGGAATGAAACCGGTTTCAAGAGAAAGAAGCGAGGAGGAGAGGAATTTGGCAGCTTATGTGGTGAGATCCATGGATAAAAATCAATTGTCAAGATTCTGGATCGTCGCGTTTTGAAGGAAGCGGCATTGGAGCAAGCAGAGAGAGTTGCAGAGCTTGTGAGGGTATGCGTTCACTTGAACGGCGTAGATAGGCCTACAATGAAGGAAGTGGCTATGGAGCTTGAAAGGTTGAGAAAGTTCAATAAAGAGACGTGGAATCGTGGATTACGAACTCCACGAGATGATGTCATTTTTGTTGGCCAAATGGATGGTCAAGATAGGTCTTCATCATCCTCAGACCTATATACGCTTCATTTGAACTCTACGGCTTTGACTAGTGAGTATTCGGGACAATACACCACTTCTACTAGTTCCATATCCAGATTCCCCATTAATCCAAGTCAACGGTGATTAAGATGACAATCACCATAATCAATTGTATCATTATATTATAAATTGATCAATTTTGTGTCTTTTCCCACACCAGATTATTAAGTTGTAACACTGATTTAAATGGGGTACATTTTCTCAACAATTGAAATATATGGAATGCATGTTCACTTTTATAATGTCTTTTCATTTTTTTATTTTTATGTACTTTTCACTTTTTTAAGGTAGACATATTTTCCTCTCGAAATCTCATGTGCGATACACAAATAAACATTAGCATCCCATCGATGCATATAAATTGATCTCTAAGTTTATATTTTTTAGTTTTGAATCATCTCAAACTGAACAAAATTTAGAGCATCTCTAATAGGGATGTGAATTGCATTTTATAAAAAAAGTGTACACATTCAAGGGTAAGTCGGTAAAACCAGAAAATAAAAAAGAATTGAAAAAACTGAATCGAGAGAGTATAATGAACCAAATTGCAAGGAAATTGAACCGCACTTGTTCAATTGTTTTTTTCAGTTCTAATAATCGAACAAAATCGAATAGTCCGAACTAGGGGTGGACATATCAGTTTCAGTTCGGTTTAAAATGAGTTGGAAGAATAATTACTATAGAAAAATCATATTATGTTTCGGTTTGGTTCACTTCGAGTTTGTTTGGTACGGTTTAGATTTATTAATCTTTTAACATATACTCCCTCTCTTTCACAATTTTTGACACACTTTTCTTTTTTGGCTGTTTCACAATCAATGACACACTTTCCTTTTTTGGTTGTTTCACAATCAATGACACACTTCCTTATTTCCTTATTTGGTAAAAAAATCCTTACCAAAACAGTGCAAAACAATGTCAAACAGTGCCAAACAGTGTTCAAATAGTGTTAAACAGTGCCAAACAGTGTACTTTGTAGTAAAATTTACCCCTCAGTAACTTTTTTTCCTTAATTCTTGACAAGTCAAACTGTGTCAAAGATTGTGAAACGGAGGGAGTATTAAGAAGAGTAATCTTCCGGTCAAGCCTTCCTGACCGGAACCGCTGTGCGGACGATGGCTTTTGGGACCCTTCCCGGTAGAATTTTTTATGAAGTTTTTATGCCATGTTCTACATTAAATCTAGTTTATGTAAAAAATCAGCTAAAAACTCAATCGGGAAGGTCGTCAAATGATTTTTGGATGTTAACTGCGTCGGAAAATACATATAAAACACAGTTAACTTCCAAATATCATTTGTCGATCTTCCCCATTGATTTTTTAGCTGTTTTTTTGTGTGGATAAACTAGATTTTATGTAGAACATGGCATACAAATTTCATTAAAAAATTCCACCGGAAAGATCGCCAAAAGCCGCCGTCCGAACGGCGGTTCCTGTCCAGAATTCCGGACAGGAATATTTCTCATATTAAGAATTTATTGAACATTGTAATTCTGGTTAATTTTATTCGGTTTGATTTTGTTTACTTTGGTTGGATACGGTTAGATTGGGTTAAACACTTAAATTGCCTTTGCCGACTTGCTCTAATTGAATTTTTAGCATTAATCTATTATGTGTGATTGTGTGAATGTGTTATTTGCTCCAAATGTGAATGTGTGATTGTGATTTGTGTATTTGTGTATTAATCTATTATTATTTTTAGCATTTTAAAGTTTTAGGGTTAGTGAATCATTATGATTATTAATTAAATTTTTTAGTACATAATTAAATAGTCTTTAATTCATTATAAATTTATAATGATTAAAGATAGAATTAAAGAGTAGAAAATGATTTAGTTATTATACAATTGAAAATTGAGAATACTTATTAGTTTTATGTACAAGTGTACAATGTTTGTTTTTTTCCTTATTAGAATGGAAATGTTTTTTAGAATGGATAATAAACACATTGTCAAGAAAGGAAAGAATTGCATTATTTTACAGATTTTTTTACACATTTTTTTCTTGATTAACCATTGTATTATTTGTTAAGCATTGTATTATTTTGTGAAACATTGTTAATCTATTTGAATATATGTTTAACACAGAGGGTCGGGAGCAATTGTGTCGTTGTGTTTTATTTGTTAAACATTGTATTATTTGTGACTTTGTGTAATTCTGTATTATTATTGATGGATAGTCCACCCGGGGGTATGTATCCGAAGGGTTACTGCGGGAAGTAACTAGAGAGAAGTCAGAGCAAAAGTAAGAGAGAGTGTATTGCTGAGAATATAATGAGCAAATTTCTGCTTGGATTACAAATGGGGAAAAGGGGCGTTATTTATAGTAGTAATAAATGCCAGATAGGAACACGTGTCAAGCATCCGGTGGCCGAGGGGTCACATCAGTTGGTTGGCACTGGCAGTCGCATTTGGCCGCATTTAATGCGGCTGTTGGATGTGACGTCGTACTTGGTACGGTGATTCAGGCGCATGTGGAGAGGATATTCTGTCGAGAAAGGTGCCCTCGGCTGCAGATGATTAGCCGAGAGCCCTAAGTACCGGGGGCCTCCTTAGTGCCGAGGGCTCTGGGTACCGAGGGCAACTGATTTTCGCCGTTTTCTCCAAGTAACTTTGTTTGCTTGAGTTGGCCATCCTGTGAGAATTTGGAGCCTTCGGCCAAGGGGCCGAAGGCACCCCCAGTGTGCCACGTGGGTTGCTCAATACTTGGGGCGCTGTGATTTGGGTCTGCCGTGCTTCCTAGGCCTATTGGGTCTCCCTTAGAATAGTAGGAGTCTATGGGTCGGGGGTTCCTGGGTCATATACTCCATCAATTATTTTTAATTTTGTAAATCTATTTGTTTTTTAATTGAATTTTTCAGTATATAATAAAATAGTGTTTATTCATTGTAAATTTATAATGATTAAAGATAGAATTAAAGATTAGGGAATGATTATTATTACACAATTGAAGATAAGAGAATGATTTATTTATTGTGTGGGCATGCTAAGAAAGAATTAAAAAATTTAATTGAATTTTGAAATACTAAAATCTTTAATAATCATCAATAAATTTATAAAATCTTACTAAAACGTTTAAATTTTAGTAATACGGAGTATATAATTTTTTCTTATAACTTTTAAGTTATCGATAGGCTAGAGCCCGGATTGAACCGAACATCACTAAGCTCGAACTCAGCTTGAATAACTATTCAAACTCAAAATCTAGCATGTTTTCGAGTTCGAAGCTCGTTAAACTCGGGTCGTTAAATTAAATTTGAAATCGCGTTTGAAATCGAGTAGTTCGAAAAAATCTCAGTTCGATGACAATCCTAAGCTAAACCTTTCATGTGTAGTAAAAATTCTTTTTTACTGCTTAGCCCACCCCACCCCTCATTCCTGGATCCACCCCTGAGCAGATCGATTTATCCACCCCTGGTCCGAACTATTTAAAATATGTCATTTTATTCACTCATCATTAAGTATTACCTAATTAAATATCTTTCTCTATCATTAATTTCTTGACTATAAATGTATTGTTTGATGTTAGATATATTATGATTTTTTATGTTTGATGTCATTAATTTTGACTTTTTTAAGAAAACTAATTTGCTATGTTTATAATTTGCTATGTTAGGAGTGTATGGTTAGTTGTGTCTATTTCATGTATATCACAAAGAGAGGTACTATACTAATATAAAGAAAGGTAGAGTTGGAGTTATGAAAATGTCCGGTCTGTGCTTAGGCAGGATACTTGGTTGATTTAATTAGATTTATATACATATAGATATGCACTCAATCTGCAACCTCTTGCACCCTAGCTCAAAGAAATGAGACACCCGCTTCGTGTACACGCCGGGTTACACGTCGCGCCGTTACACATCGATCAAATTGTCTGTATACAACAATTTGACCGGCGTTTTGTGAAGAAAATCGATTTCCACACAAACAAAATTAAAGAGTTGTCTTTATCACAGACATTTTAGACGAGAATTTTTCATAAAATGTATGTGATACAGACAATTTTTTTATTTTTGTCTGTATGAAAATCAGTTTTCTTCATAAATCACCGGTCAAATTGTCTGTGTAGCCGATCAAATTGTCTGTACACAAACAATTTGACCGAAGTGTAAGGATGTTTTTACTTGAACTGTAATTCATCCCAGACCAGACCAGACCAGATCAGACCAGACCAGTTCAGATCAGACTTGGATAGTTATAAAAATACAAAGAAACCAGACCAGACCAGACCAGTTCAGACCAGCCCAGCAAATTACAGTCCAAGTAAAAACATCCTAACCCAACATGGACAAAAGGGAATTTTCCAAAAAATCATTGATAGAAAGTCCAAATGTATTAAGCAAAAAAAGTTTAGCTATCTTGTGAGTTATTCTTGTGTAACTTAATGAAGTATCACGACGTGAGAAAAAGTGAGAGGAAGCCACATAATGGGCACATTTATCAAATTTTTCAATGCTTTGATTTCCTAATTTTTTAAAATGTGTTTACAACTCATATTGAGTCAATTTAGTTCATAGCGCGAAGGTTATATATGCCGAGAAATCTACTGAAAAAGTATCAACAAAAAACAAATGCATTTCATTTCTTTTTTGGTGCAGGTTTTTATAATAATAAGTGAATGAGAGAACAATTACAAAAGCTCTTCTCAACTCTCAAGTGCATATAATAGATGCTTTGTAGTGATCAAATGGACAAACAGATTGACATGTGAGATGAAGTGTTTGAATAGCAAAATAGCATATAATCCATATATAGGTAACTGATTATGATTATTTAAAAGAACAAAACTAAACACGGATTTACAGAACCCATCAGGTAAAGCCATAACTTTGTGAACACGAAACTAATTGAGTCGGTACTGGCTACCAGTTCCAGTCCATAACCGAAAATTGGGTGCACAATTTGGTTTTTATATGCAATGTAAAACCGGAAATCTTGTGTGAAACTGGAACTGAGTCCACCCGAGCTATGTGCAATGTAAACCAAGTCCACCGGAGCTATGTGAAACAGAATGACATTTGAGGTACTGGTGTAGTGATCAAATGGACAAACAGAATGACATGTGAGACATAATAGATGCTTTATAGTTGCACATTTATGCCTAGTACTGGTGTGAAACTGGAACCGAGACCACCCGAGCTATGTGCAATGTAAACCAACTCCACTAAATTGGGTTCCACATCCCAGCCACGTACTAATGATACAACCAAAGATCAAAGTTGATAGTCTTGAGATCAGATTAAGGAAATCTAGTGATACAAAATATTTCAGCTATTCTATATAACATGAAATGTTAGCAGCTCGGCAGTAGTTTGGTAAGACAACCAATTCAAGCAAATCTCAAGATGAGAAACATGCAATGTTGTGCTAGCTAAGGTGTCCAAAGATACACCTGACCCCCACTCGTAGCGCCTGCAAGCATCCCAACGTTGTAGGGGTGTGCATCAAAGCGGCACTGTATAGCAGACATATGCTTATTCCGTAATGTCTTAAGAATTTGCTTTTCCCCTGTTGAAACGACGTCGACTCCCCTTCGCATGTTTCCAATGAATATATAGGAATCATCCCAGCCCCATATACCTCTGCTTTATCAAACGCACACAAATCTTTCAGACGGAAAAAAGAATAATGCCAACCATAAATCAAGTTGGCTTCAGATACAGCTCAATCAGACACATGCATAAAGTTTCATTTTATACTACTGACCCTGTCATTTTTTGTTTAAATTATTAGATAATCAAGACCATTACAATTTATGTGTCTCCTATGTGACCCTTACACAAGGAGGGGGCAAAAGATACTGTTCTGTGACCACGAAGATAGAAAAAGGCTGAGTGATGGAGTATTTGGGCGAAAGAAAAAGTAATTCAGCGGAAAAATAAGTTAGTTTTAAATTTTTATCTTTTTGGGTAACTTAATTGATCACTTTTAACTTTAAAAGTACAATATTAAAAATTAAATAAATCACTATGCCTGTTAAATTATTTTTATTGGATTCATGACCTTGGGAGTCATATGTAGCTCAAAAGTCGGTATGTAATACTGTAATAGTTAGTTGCTTGTGCAACGTCATTATTTGTCCACAAACGCATTAATGAAGAATGTGAACAAACTTGCCTGAAGGAGGAAATCCATCTGCCTGTTTGATTATCGTGATGAATCATACTTACATCTTCATAATTAGCTCCACTTGACAAGCCTATTTTGTCATCAAAACTGCCCAAACAATGGAAATTGTCAAGTATAAGTAGTAATACAACAGATGCACTAAAATATACTCCCTCTGTCCCGCAAAATAGTTCTCAGTTTCCTTTTTGGGCCGTCCCAAAAAATAGTTCTCATTTCCCTTTTTGGAAAATATTGTATGGCTATCATTCATTTACCTTTTTCTTACTCAACCACAACCATACATTTTCACTTTATTCCCACATTCTTAAACTTCGATCCAAATCCTAGTGGGAATTATAAACTATTTTATGGGATGGAGGGAGTAATTATTTGTCAGGAACACAAAGGACTTCAAGGCTTCTAAACATAAGTATACAGGTTCAGTGACCAAGATGACTACGACTCTATGAGCCCTATAACCTTATAAGACCATACACATACCTATTCTTCGTTGCTTGCCTTAAACAAATTAAATGACATGTGTTATGGTTTCTTTGTCCATTGTAAATCTCAGGACATACATAGAACAGGACTATTGAATTACCCAACAGAGCTTCCTTTTTGCTTAAATATATTCAAGCTAGCAGTGTGAGTAAAGTTAACCATTTCAAGGAAACCTCATTTCTAGAAAAGTCCACTAGTCCAATACCTAAAATCTGAATGACAATAATGAAACTGGCAAAAAAAAGTACTTTCAGAGGTCAGAATTTCATTTCTATTGGCAACAGCCACAATCTATGAGACTAAAACAAGCCACCTTGTTGACGCAAGAAGTCGGCCAGATCGTGAAAAGTACGCAGAATGCACAGATTTTTTATGGTGGATAGTTCTCAATGGTTTTAGTTTCTCGGAGCCAGCATTTCTCATATCCCAGATACAGACAGTTTTGTCAGAAGAGCTTGTAACCATAGTATTTATATTCTCGGAGTTGAAATCTATAGAGTTGATCCTCTCTCCATGTAAATTCCAGGATGATGATGACTTTCCAGCTCTCAAATCCCATATTCCAAGATTACCTCTCCCTTCTGTGTAATATAATGAATTCATATTGTCTGGACTTTGACATATAGCATATATAGAATAGTCACTTAAATATATGCAATCAAATAACTCCTTCTCAATGTCCATCAGCTTGATAAACCCATCATAACAAGATGTAATCATCTGTAGACAAGGTGCAACCACAAATCAAACCAAAACCTTAAGCCATGAAGGTTTTTAATGTAAAGCAGAATGAACTAATATTTTAGAAATGTTTAATAAGCACTTCATATGGATATATGAAAATAGAAACGGACAACTATCATCTCAAAAGTCTTTCGTTAATCAAGCACTGATGGTATTTATGATAAGTGAATTCAAGCCTACACATTTTGAAAATCATATATTCTTAACCACAATGAAAATACACATACACACACATGCGTGTGTCAGTGTGTGTATGTGTATAGATCCCACCTTTGACTTTGTAAATGGTTCAATCACTATCCCTGATACTGGACCAGAATGAGTTTGGTAAACATAAATTCCCACTCCATCTTTTGCATCAGCATTCCAGAAACCTATATTTCCAAACTTGTTTCCTACGACAACCATTCTCATCTCCGTTGTTGGGAAAAACTTCACACTAAGTATTCTTCCTGGCACAACCCGAGCAATATTTTCCGGTTTCAATCTCAATGAGTCAATATCTACTGAACATGAAGGCCTTGACATCTTCTTAAGATCACAAAAGTTAGGATCTTGATCAGCCTTCTCATCCGATTTTGGTTTTCTCGACAAACTCTTAATGTTTTCAATTAATTGTTCGTTTGAGTCTGTAGTAACACCCTGATAGGCATCTTTCATAGTGATAGGTACAGCCTCACTAAGCAATTTCGACAGTGAGTCTTCTTGCTCCAGTTTGTTCCCGATTTTGGATTCAACGAAATCATGACCCAGGCCACCAGCTGTAGATGCATCTGGAGGCTTTCCCAGAGTCCTTAGAGAACGACGAAGCACAGTGGGCGCCTCATTTTTTGGTTTCTTCATCGGACTCAATTTAAAGGACTTTTTCTGCACCCTGCAATAGTAGTAGAGTAATACACTTAAACAATCAACAAATGTAAAACACCAAAAGACGATAAATCGCTATTCAGAAATGGAAACACATCCCTATGCTATATACATCCTAATATGAAATCAATCACATAAGGTTTTTACAAAAAGCTGGCTACTTTAAAAAAAATACCGATTCTTTAAAACAATTCAACGAGCACATATAGATACCTAAAGGGTATCTTTAAAGAGAGTATAAAATCTAATATAAAAAACAAAGATAAGTCATTGATATGTGGTTTCCTTTCTGGGATAAAAATAAAAAATACATATAAGTTTCTAGACAGAAAGAAGGACCTGGGACATTTGGCGGCGGCAGTTGCAGCAGAGAGATCTGAGAGGTGGGAATGAACTTTGAAGGCGGCGAGCATTTCCTCGTTGCGCTTGATGTTTTCCAGCCTCTTACGCTCGTACTCCGTCAATTTCTGAGAAGGCGCCATTGGAGAAAATGAGAAATCGAAATACAGGGGAAGGAAACGGCGGAGGAAGGAAATGGCGCTATGGTTATGGTAGAGTGCACAATTTAGCGGGAAGTGGAACTGGCGGGAGAAGGGTTTATTGACGGTCTGTATCACGGTCGGCCCGTTTTTCCCCTATCCTGACGTTTTTTATCAAGAAAAATAAATCAATTAGGAAAAAAATGGAAAGAAAAAACAAAGATGTCTTAGGTTGGATAAATTCCAATCCGATCAGATTGAACTAAACTTAAATATATTTGAATACATTGGATCAAAATCAGATTGTAGTAATATACATAAAACAAATCATTACCATATTAGATTTATTGGTATCACATTTAGAGCATCCACAATGCAAGCATTTCTAGTCTAAATAAATTATGCCAAATGTCAAATTATTAAAAGGTTTCCAATCCACATAATAAATAGTGATGGGAGTAGACATGTGGACCAATTAAGTATACATGTGGAATTTATTTTATAAATAAATTGATAATTATTTTAGATCATTCTAGGTCTCCACTGATAATTATAATTATATATATATATATATATATATATATATATATATATATATATGTGTGTGTGTGTGTGTGTGTTTTGGTTCAAATAAAAACACGATCTTATGAGAGAAATGAGAACGAATTTGGACCGTTAGATTTGCTTTAAGTGAAATTCAGTGTGCATTAGATGAAACTGTAATGTGCATTACGTAGAATTGAAATATGCATCACAAAGGATACGATATAGTGACATTATGTGAAGTTGAATTGTGCATTATGTGAAATAAAAATGTGCACTGGGTGAAACTGAAATGTGTAGAATAAAAAGTACGATGTCATGTTATTTTTGTACCTTTTATTTCGCACATTTCAGTTATATCTAATGCACACTTGAGTTTAAATTTTTATTTTGCACATTTCAATATCGTTTAATGCACATTCCAGTTTCATCAAATGCACAAGTTGATTCCACATAATACAATCGAACGGTCCAGATTCATTATTTTTTCTCTCCTAAGAGTCCGTTCTTATCGGAACCGCTCCCATATATATATATATATAGTCATTCTCCTGTCCAGCAGGTTTTGGTCCGAACGCCGTCTGAACACCGCCGTTTGGGGCGGTTCCCGAAGGAATTTTTTGATGAAATTTTTTGAGCATGTTTCTCATCAAGTCTAGTTTATCCATACCAAATTTCAGCTGAAAATTCGATCGGGAAAGTATTCAAATAATTCGTTGAAGTTAACTGTGTACAATTTTGCGCAGTTAACTTCAATGAATTATTTGACTGCCTTCCCAATCGAATTTTCAGCTGAAATTTGGTAAGAATAAACAAGACTTGATGAGGAACATGCTCAAAACATTTCATCAAAAAACTCCACCGGGAACCGCCCCAAACGGCGATGTTCGGACGGCGTTCGGACCCGGAGGTGCTGGACCTGAGAATTTCTATCTCCTTATATATAAAGTGTGTAAGGAAGTTACTTTGGTTGTTTATACGTTGCTACAGTGCAACGGAATAGCCTAATTTTGCATCCGTCTCTGCTAACGGAAGTTTTCCGTTTTTTTCCCTCTCATTTGGGCAAGTACATTGACAACTGCCCACAAATGCCCACAAACAATTTGCGTAAACTGGATGGCAATTGAAACGATTTAGTTATTTTATTGTATATTTTAAAAGCTTAGCGGTTATTTGAGTTGTATAGTATTTTGAGTAAAAGTTATTTCATGAAATGAGTTTTTTATTGGACAGGTTGCCACATCAGCTACATTGAATACAAATATATGACTACCTTGTGTTGTTAAGTTCCTCTAAAAGAATAACTAACTAATGTATAACCAAAGAAGCACAACTAAGAGAATTGCCATAGAGTTACAATATTTGTGTTATTAGTTAAATGTTTTTTAGTACTTCTATAAGTTAGCATTATCTGATTGTTCTTATATTGATGCTATAAAAAGTGATTGCACTGTGTCTAAAACTAAAAGTTATGTATTTTATTCTAGAAGTTTGTATTCTGGTTCTATTAGTTTATTGATAAAATGTTCCTTTTAGATTTACTGTATAGGTGCAGATGAAAATGATGGTGCTATATTTTGTTCCCCTTTTTAAGATAGAACATGTGTCAGTTGCAAGTTTCAAGAAAAAAATAGAAGTTTTCCTTTTGTGAAAAGGTTATAAATTTTCACTTATTAGTTATGTACTTTTTATAAAATTACAAAGCATAATGAAGTATATTAAGGTGCAGGGGTTGAAAGAGATCAAGTGCATTAGACTTTCTTTATCGTAAAGCCTATTAGGTAAATTGGTAGAGCATCATGTAATTGCATGAAGGATGTGGGTTCGAAACCCACATAGGCTACCTTAACAAATATGTAGTTGAGAGTCAACTTATATACATACTCCTAGGAGTGAACTTTGATGAGGCAAAAAAAGAGCTGCAAAGGAGCACAAAAGTCATGTAATTAAGAAGGTAATGGTGCAAGCGGTTTTTTCCAGTCTGTTGAATATGAAAATCTACCTATTTTCTGTCACTATTGCTCTAGATTTGGACACACCTCTGTGGAGTGCCCCCTGAATACTTCACTGGTGGAGAATTCCACCAAAAACAAGTTAGTGCCCCTGTTTTGGTTGCAGAATCTGTGCAGGCAGCCTCCGGTTTGAGTATTGTGATTCCTTTAGTTACATAAAGCCAGGCAGGTTGTTACAACTGATAAAATACCAGAAACTCAGTTCTTGCCTTTGGTTAATGCAGCCCCTGTAAGAACTAATACTAATGCAGAACCCCAGGTTGTTTTACCTTTGGTGCCAGATTGTATTCCGTTGCAAACTAGGTTACTGCAATCCAGGTTGATTCAGCTCCCGTTCTGAATTATATTGATTACAAATCTGATGTCCTGGTTCTTAATGTTCCTCATACTAATGAAGTAAGCCAGGTAGAAGTATTAAACGTTTGCACTAATAATACTAAAATAAAAGTGGTTCACCGTTTTTGTTTTGTTAAAACTAGTTGCATATTGATTTTGACCTCTTCATCATATATGAGCTAGAAGTTGTGGACTTCTTGTTAAAAGTTATGCTTCTAGTTGTATTAGTATGTAGCTACATGACTCTCTTTTACCTTGACAGGTGAGGACAGCTATGAGTCTAGGAGCGAGTGAATGAAGATGAAATTGGGCATGCGAATTATTTAAGTCATGGAGAACATAACACGCTAAATTCATTTTTGTAGTTATGTCGTGTCATTAAGAGAACTGAAGTGTCTTTTTAAAGTGTATATTTGTGACTTAGAAGTAACTTGTTATTGTATAACTCTGCTCTACTTTTTATGGTAGCACTTATAATGAGTGTTGTTGGAAGTCTATTTTTATCATTAAATAAATTCTCTTGTTGATTTGATCTTTTAAAAGTCATGCATTTTGTTTTAGAAGTTATGATTACAGTGCTATTAGTTGTAGATTTTGTGAAGCAATCCCATTTGTTGAAGATGATAGAGAGGGTGTTGTCATGTGATGGGGCTCATAGGCTCCAAGCGGACATGATGAGGCGTTTGGCAAGCCCGTGTTGCTATTGGACAAGTTCTTTTATCTATCTGTTGCAATCACAACACTAGAGTATGTGGATGCAACATAGGAGAAAAAACAAACAGATTGATAATAAGGGAAAAAAGGCAATTAATATGGAAAAAAAAGAGAAGGAAAAATTAAGAAGAAGAAAAGTTGTAGTTGCAATACTAGATGTACAATCATGAAATAATGCACGCCCGTCACCACAACTTGTTTAAGTGCCTAAAAGATGAATTCGAGAAATGTGTATACTGTTTTATAAATATAATTTCAAAGTAACAAGAAGCTTCACACAAGTCGAACTGGACTTCAGGTTCTCACAAACTTCAAAAATACAATAGAGCGAGTGACAGGTCCATACTACACGGTCATTATATAGACTATGCAGGACTCGAACCTGCATCTTTGTGCATATTTGCACATTGCTCTACCATTTGAGCTAATAGCCTTGATAATATATTACAATAGACACCAAAAAGAGTATTTAACATCATAAAAGAAATAAAAAAGAAAAGAATCAATAATGTAACCAAGAACTAACAGTAATTTGTAAAAGAATGAGTGCAATTTTTAACATTAAATTAACTTTAAAAGCTGTGATTTGAAGGCACCCACCCCCCATAACCTCAAGCTCTTTGATTTCAGGCCAGAGTTCACAACTCACAAGCTGAGCTGAAATCAATGGCAAGGTCTCATAGTTGTATGTATTCATTTCTTTTTTTGTGTGACCACCATATCCCTGCAAGAAGTGTTTAGAGCACAATTAGTCTGTTCTGAGTTGTATACTATACTTGGAGACCTCACAAGTTCTTTCATATTCTTTACTTTGCTAATGTTCATTGGAAATTATCACAAGTGTTTATGGCCTCACAGTAAATGTAATTAATCTAGTATTTATTCAATGCAGCCTTTTTTTGAATTTTGATTTGATGAATCGTTTGCCTAATTGAGATTCCCGGATAAGAAAACGAAGGAATATACACAAAGAAATGAAATTAGAGCAACCAAAACGACTAGGTTGATAGTATCATGTACCTAATAACAAATGATAGAACAAATTTTAAAGAGACATTATATCAAACACTTGAAGTGCAAAATCATAACTTCTTTTGAATGACTATTGGAAGTATTTCCATTACTAGCATTAATAACATGAGAATAAATTACACCCGAGAGGACTAGTAGAGAGGAACCGTAACGAGATTGATGAAGAAAGCATCGAAAGAGAAGTGCAGAGTGCAATTAGTTAGTACGAAGTATTAGATAAAGTAAATATACAATAATCACATAAAGTAAGCAGCAAATTCAAAAAGTCAAACCGTCCAGGTGCAACAAATCTAATAAACATGAAGGAATTCAGAGATAATTCCAGAACATCTTGTGCTATTATCAGTTTATGAGAAATGATTGCAAAACTAAATTTAATTCTCTAGATCAAGAAGTAGAGGAAATCAGATCCAAAAGTCGTTGAAAAACACTGAGTTCTTTAGTTGATGAGTTAGTTCTTCATCTTCGGTCGAGCATCATCGTCGACCTATAGGGGT